GAGGGGGGAAGAGGCTAATTGTAGGATTAAATAATATACGAAGGAGAGGACAAAATACTTAAAAAAAAAAAAATTTTTTTAGATACAGTCTAAAAAGAGAATGCAGTCAGAAATTGTTAGATTAATCTGAACATGTGTGAAGATAGTTTATTAACCACACCCGTATGTCAGAGGTTTTGTGCCCCACAGGTGAACTAAAGGAGAAGGTGACCCACTATCTAACCAGGTGACTGGTGAGCATCCAGTCACTAGAATGAAAACTGGAAGCAGGCCTGTTGGGAAGGGCCCTATCAGGTTATGTTGGTCACCACCTTGGCCATAAGAATAGCAGAGAGAGGAACCTGGGTCCATGTTACCCACTGCAAGAAGGTAAGACCACATACAAGCACCGCTTAGCACACGCAGAGTTGATGAGCGGAACTGGGCCACAGGGTCCGGGGTCACCTCTGTCAACGAAGATCTCCTACCCAGACCTATCCTCACTGTAGTGTGTTCCTAGGGTGTGAGTATGGGGTGGTACCGAGCAGAAGGACTCAAGACAGGAGAGGGTTGGCGGTTTTTGGGAATATGGGTGACCCTGAGCTGCATCATAGTCTCGGCAATAGTCGTGGTATGTCAAGATCCACCACCTCGCACCAATTACGCTATGGCCTTACCATTATTAAGAAATAAAGGGAAAGCGACCCGACATACTGACCGTCAAGGGCGAGTGATCTACAAAATAGGAGTCAGAGAAGGGTGGGGAGTAAGATTCAAAATTATGATTAGGGATCTTATCAGAGCGGATAAGCAAGCAACATGGGATTATAAGATCCCGTTGTATTTATGTTCAGCTCCCTCGGCGGATTGTTCCTGGGCTCAGGTATTTAGACATATTGGGGGAAGGAGATATGAGACGGGGGGGGGGGGGGGGGGGGGGGGCTGGACGTCCAGATGGAGGATAAGAAGGTATAACGACATCCCCACGGAGATGGTAGTAACGATAGTAAAAGTCACTAAAGAGGACATGAAAAGAACTTACTGGGCTTGCGCGGACGTATACGGACGGGATACTTGTCTAAGATTACATTTGATGGAGTCAAAAGATATAGAGGGAGCAGGTACTGTCATTAATCCATTAATGGAAATAGACCGAGTAAATCAGTCAAGGGATGACGGAGTCAATTCGACTAACCCGTCCACTATGAAAGATTTTCTCCTCCAAGAATGGAACAATGGGGAAGTGGAGGGGGTCCCTGATGAGAATCTCTGGTTAAAGTGGATGAAATACACCGCTAGGGCCTTGGGGGAGACCAATTGTTATGCATGCTCCATTGGGCGACCGACAATGTTGACCGCCCCAATGCCAAAGGCAATGTTTCCCTGTGTATTAGACCTGGGGTCCAATCAAAAAGAGCCCAATTGCACAGGGATTGGGCTGGCAAAATTGACATACTCGGCCAGCCCACCTAGATTCACTTTAACTCCTGGCGAATACCAGTGTTACAGACATAGAAATGGCACCCGTAACTTGGGTGATTTTGATGGCTGTAAGGAGATAATTAATGTGACTGATTTAGATAAGGAAGGAAGGAAAAAAATTAGGAACCTAACCATCCCTCTGACTGATGTGTGGTGGGCATGCACTAAAAAAGGGAGCATTCGGCAGATATTACCAGAGGGATGGGTGGGTACTTGTGCACCAGTATTGTTGGTCCAACCTGTAAGAATTGGTCATCAAAGACCAGTGACAGGAAGAATAATTAGGAAAAAAAGAAATAAGTCAGGAAGGAAATAGCCCAATTTGGATAGATGGTATATGCATCTCCAGGGGTGTTCCAGATGAATACAAAGCTATGAATCAAATATGGGAGAGTTTTACTACAACATTTTTCTGGTGGGTGACAATAAACAAAAATGTGGATTGGATAAATTATATCTATTACAACCAACAACGATTTATTGACCAGACTAGAGATGCAGTAAAGGGGATCTCTGAGCGATTATCCGCCATCCCGCTCATAACTTAGTAGAGGTTGGTTCTAGATCAGGCAGAAAGGGCCGGTGTCTATAGAAAGATAAGCCATTGTTGCATATTTATCCCTAACAACACCACACTGGATGGGACAGTCACCAGAGCTCTTACAGAATTAACTGCACTAAGTGAAGGATGAACTGAACTCAGAAGTTAGTACATTGTGGATAGGGTGGTTTGATGAAATATTTGGTAAATGGAAAACCCTAGCAGCCACCATCTTAGGAGCGATCAGTGTTTGTATGGGTATTCTTGTATTATGTGGTTGTTGTCTTGTTCCCTGTGTCCGAGGATTGGTGAGTCAGGCGTTGGTGAAATGCAGTATCTAAACAATGATGAGAGATGGACTGACTCCGGACTCTGACCAGGGGAATGTGAAAAGCGATCCTCCAGGCTTGGTGGATGACGAGGATTTGGACCCTGAAAGACCACAATTGGATGAAATGTTTATTAGTTCTGATGTGATCTCAGAGATTAATCATGCTTGTAAAATACATTTATCCTGAATGTGGGAATATTTAGTCAAAGGGGTGGATTGTTAGATTAATTTGGATTTTAAGAATAATGACTAAAGGATTTCACCCCAAATACAGTATAAATGTTAGAATGATCATGTAGTGTCAACCCACTAACAGAGGGGGTACTAAACATTCAAGGGTAAAGGAGAAGGCGGGAACTGTTAAAAAAGCCACCTAAAGGTGGGAGGAGCATAGTGCCTTTGTTTGTCAAGGGGTATAAAAACAGTATGTTTGTGTTTTTGGCGGCAGAGCTCTCCATGAATAAATATACCGATAATTACTTGTGGATTGTGGACCTTGAATCATTGATGATTAAAACCAGAGCTTTACAACCTCTGGTAATGATTCAAGCTTAGGTTGAATTAGAAATAGAAATTCACATGACATGTGTGTAATAAACAAGACAAAACAAATGGAATGATGAGATGAGGAGCGGCTGTGGCTAGAAGGTCGGTGACGACGAACGCCGAAGCCTGCCCGAACAAAAAAAGGAAGGGAGGCAGCTTCGGAGGAAGTCATGACAACTGCACTGTTGGATAGGGCTTGCAAGTTAAGCATGTCACTGTACTTGTGCATTTGACAACTTAAACTTGAAAATTGAAATTAATTACGTACTGTATGTTCCAGAGAGAGACATCTCGTCTCCTCCCTCTCACCAATCACAAACAGTACACAGTGCTCAGTACCCAACACAAATCCTGTTCTGCTTCCTTAGGTAAATAGGACATGGTTCACAGAGGACCAAATTGTTGAAATACAGAAAGAAAAAAAAATCCAGAAATTCACATTGTAGGATTTTTAATGAATTTATTTGCAAATTATGGTGGAAAATAAGTATTTGGTCACCTACAAACAAGCAAGATTTCTGGCTCTCACAGACCTGTAACTTCTTCTTTAAGAGGCCCCTCTGTCCTCCACTAATTACCTGTATTAATGGCACCTGTTTGAACTTGTTATCAGTATAAAAGACACCTGTCCACAACCTCAAACAGTCACACTCCAAACTCCACTATGGCCAAGACCAAAGAGCTGTCAAAGGACACCAGAAACAAAATTGTAGACCTGCACCAGGCTGGGAAGACTGAATCTGCAATAGGTAAGCAGCTTGGTTTGAAGAAATCAACTGTGGGAGCAATTATTAGGAAATGGAAGACATACTAGACCACTGATAATCTCCCTCGATCTGGGGCTCCACGCAAGATCTCACCCCGTGGGGTCAAAATGATCACAAGAACGGTGAGCAAAAATCCCAGAACCACACGGGGGGACCTAGTGAATGACCTGCAGAGAGCTGGGACCAAAGTAACAAAGCCTACCATCAGTAACACACTACGCCGCCAGGGACTCAAATACTGCAGTGCCAGACGTGTCCCCCTGCTTAAGCCAGTACATGTCCAGGCCCGTCTGAAGTTTGAAGTCAGATGAAACCAAAATATAACTTTTTGGTAAAAACTCAACTCGTCGTGTTTGGAGGACAAAGAATGCTGAGTTGCATCCAAAGAACACCATACCTACTGTGAAGCATGGGGGTGGAAACATCATGCTTTGGGACTGTTTTTCTGCAAAGGGACCAGGACGACTGATCCGTGTAAAGGAAAGAATGAATGGGGCCATGTATCGTGAGATTTTGAGTGAAAACCTCCTTCCATCAGCAAGGGCATTGAAGATGAAACGTGGCTGGGTCTTTCAGCATGACAATGATCCCAAACACACCGCCCGGGCAACGAAGGAGTGGCTTCGTAAGAAGCATTTCAAGGTACTGGAGTGGCCTAGCCAGTCTCCAGATCTCAACCCCATAGAAAATCTTTGGAGGGAGTTGAAAGTCTGTGTTGCCCAGCGACAGCCCCAAAACATCACTGCTCTAGAGGAGATCTGCATGGAGGAATGGGCCAAAATATCAGCAACAGTGTGTGAAAACCTTGTGAAGACTTACAGAAAACGTTTGACCTGTGTCATTGCCAACAAAGGGTATATAACAAAGTATTGAGAAACTTTTGTTATTGACCAAATACTTATTTTCCACCATAATTTGCAAATAAATTCATTAAAAATCATTTCTGGAGAAAAAAAATCTCATTTTGTCTGTCATAGTTGACGTGTACCTATGATGAAAATTACAGGCCTCTCTCATCTTTTTAAGTGGGAGAACTTGCACAATTGGTGGCTGACTTAATACTTTTTTCCCCCACTGTATATACTGTATATGATGTATGATATTGATATTTGATACAGAGCCCTAGTTACCCTCAGATTATTACATTAGCCTCATAATTATTACAAATCAGGTTTTCTAATCATAAACATTGCTTGCTCAGTGAACTTCGCCGAGTGCTAATGATGCCAATTCTTTCTAACATTTTAGATCCATTGCATCTATTCTCCTTGCAGGTCTACACTCATAGGAAGAATATGGACACTGATGATGGAAGTATGAAGCATGACGGTAAATCAAAGATAGTGAGATGTAATCAATGTGTCCCATTGTGTGCCGTTGCCTGGTGCTGTGCCTTGGCCATGGTCACTGCCTGGCCGAGGTCCCTGAGCTTTCTCAGCCAGTCGGATGGGCTATCCTGACAGGGTCTCTTCACAAGCGGCCCACCCTCCTCCTCACCATCCTCCTGCAGCTGGGCTGCACAGCGCTTCCTGGTGCGTGACTGAAATGTCCTCATCATGTCATTGATCTCTCTCAGACGCTGTGGGATACAGTTGAGATACAACGATTAGCAACACACATGACTAGATGTATACTGTGTATTTACGATGACCAAGCCTTTTGCTTTTCAAAGTTATTGAAGTTAAAATATGTGTAATGTTGTTTAGGCTTCAGATAGGAAGTATAGAAGAGGGTCAGTTAGAGAACCGTTAGCAGGGTTAGAGAGGTATGTCCGACCTCTGACCTTTGAGAGGCTTCTGCTGACGTAATATACGACCCCAGTGTGGGGAGAGGGGGATGTGCTGTGCTTGTGGGGGGAGATGTAGAGGGAATGGTGGTTGGAGGGGCGGAGTCTGCGCAAGGATCCAATACGCTGGCAGGGGTATGGCGAAAGGGGAGGGGTTTCAACCTGTGCATGGAAAAAATAATCAGAATGTCGTCAAAATCTCTGTTGGACAATGATGATAGCACTGGGCCTAGGAACAATGCACTGTATCTGTACAAGGACTGCGCTTACTTCTATTACAGGATCAGATGACCTGTAAGTACCAATGATTTTATACCCCAGTTTAAACATATCTGAGAACACTGGTAAAGTATTTCCTATGTATTGTGTATGACGACTACTGTCACCATTAGGTAGTATGTGAAAATGTCCCCTCACCCCGGCTATGGTCAGAGAGCCGGAGGAGTATCGCAGGGCAAAGTCTTTCATCTGTTTGACGTAGACGGTGTTGTAGAAATAGATGAGGTGTCCTCTCTCCTCCTTGTCCTGTCTATAGGGAGATCTGGGTCCTGTAGGATGGGTTGGAGGGGTCTGGTAGGTAAGCACGCTACTGCTGGGGTCTGCATCAACTGGGAAACAGTGCAACATCACCATCAAAAATTAGCTGTTTTAATACTTCATACTTTCATTCATTTATGCGTTCATTCATGCATATTATGATGCGAATATATCGATGGGAATGTTTGTGTTTTTCTATTTATCTTACTGTTTTCTCTGTTGGATCCTCCAGGAGAGTTTTGTGAGGGCTTGGTGTTTATCCCTGAGATCAGAACACTTCTGCATACCTGACAGGAGGACAATACAGACTTCATCAACTACACAATTACAAACAAGCTGGATTTAACTCACTTACACACACAAAATCAAACAAAACATTGATCTCCTTACAGAGTTGCTTGCTTGAGGCTGAGTCTTGTAGCACTGCATGATGAGCTTGAAAGACTTGTCCTCTTTGGTTACCTGCATGAGAAACACACACCATACACATGGAAATTAAGCTATTATATTACATTATTATCATCAATACACAGCTGAAGAAGTATAGAAGGCTGAATGCCTTGCTGTTGATCCCCAAAGTCATAAAACCATCTGCATTAAGGAAGTATAGCAAAAAGTCTAGAGGCAAAGCAAATGGTGCTACCTTGGCCATGACATAGATGGCACACATGAGTATTTGGTCCAGGTGTCGGTCTAGCATGAGGTCAGTGCAGTGGACCAAGGAGTGTTCAACGCAGGTCCAGATCTTCAGCCGCAGCGCCTCACAGATGTCCAGTTTAACACAGATGTTCCTCAGACGCACGCTCACCAGGTGGTAGACCTGAGACAGAGGGAAGAAGTATGGCCTTTGTCTTGTGGATATTGGAACTAAATATCTAGGCTCATAGCATTCAGGCTAGCTTAGGTATGTAGAAATCTGTGAGTAAAGCCTACCTTGCGGAGGAACAGTGAGATGGAGCCCTCTCTCTGAGGTCTGTGTGTAACTGGGTTCTGGGGCTGCTGGGTAGAGGTGCTGGAGACCTGCTGTGGAGGAATGGGCTGACCCACAACACTGAGACGCACTGGGATAAATGTGATGCCTCCCCGGTCATTGGCAATGCCTGGGTGTGGAAGAGGTTTAATTGAACAAATAGCACTGGTTGTTGTGATATGTAAACAAGGTATATAACATGTTTATTACATGTTGTATTACATCATTTCAGTATTCTATTAGGTTTGTAATTTCTATGGCCATATTGGGTTTCATCTGAGGGAAAATCTTTACCTCGAACCGGTATGGTGACTGACTGACCGTTGTTGGTGGTGACAGTGGCTGACGCCATGGTGACTACAGTCTGTCCAGTAACAATGACAGAGGAGGACTGTGATGGCCTGACTGGTGTGGTTAGGCTCAGCGTCCATCTTTGAGCCAGCAGGGGGTGAGCTGTAGCGATCATGGTGTGTAATCGGGGAGTTCGGGTGGATTTCATGGATCCCATTCACAAGGCTTGGGGTCAAGTGTGGAGCGGTGGGAGGGATCTTAGTCATCTTGTCTGTGTCCTCTAGGTATTGGGGGGGCATCACCTGGAACACACATAGAACCATCTGTTACCTCAAGGTTGGGATCATTTTGTTTCCTCTTTTTAATGGAACGACAGCAGTCATGCTGCCATATTAGACCAACTTGTTTCGAGTGCGCCAGCTGTGTCGCTCTATATATTTTGAGATGGTGCACTGTATATTAAACAAGCATTTCGCTACATCCGCAATAACATCTGCTAAACATGTGTATGTGACCAATACAATTGTATTTTATTTGATTAGATATTTTGCTCAGTTCACAAACAGGTGAATTTGAACCTTTGCCCGCTGACCTGATGGCATGCAGGCAGCTGTCCCTGTCCCTTGGCAGCTCTGATGTTGTCCCAGAGTGGTGAGTCTCTCCTCCAGGCCAGACTCTCCAGGATCTGCTCCTCTATACGGGTCAGATGTCTGACCACACCCGGCAGCAAGCCCTCCTCAGCCCGCAGCACCAGCTCTATCACCTGGCACACACCACACACAGTAGAGGGTTAAACAGTACCTAAATAGATCACCAAGCTTACAGTATAAGTGTTTGAACCCAGGTTTGAACAAGGTCTGAACCCAGGACCTCTGTATGCCCCAAGACTGTGTAAGCCCTCTAAGCCCAAGCCTAGGCATTAGCTTGGGGAGCTAACACAATGCTTCAGTTTTCAGGTGAAACCACCTCCTTTACACAAAACCTACAATATTACAGTACAGTATTACACGTATTGCAGGTTTTTGTGTAGGTGTTACCTTGTAGAAGTGGTATGGAGCCAGGCTAAAGATGTCAATGACCAGGGGGAAGCTGCCTGGTAGCTGATGGGAGAAGATGACCATCTCCAGACAACAGGCCACTAGAGAGCGCTGGAACAGATCATGCTCCAGAATGCCCTGACAAAGAAACAAGTCATCAAGGACAACCTCTATACTATACAGTTGATGTCGGAAGTTTACATACACCTTAGCCAAATACGTTTAAACTCTGTTTTTCACAATTCCTGACATTTAATCCTAGTAAAATTTCCCTGTCTTCAGTCAGTTAGGATCACCACTTTATTTTAAGAATGTGAAATGTCAGAATAATAGTAGAGAGAATGATTTATTTCAGCTTTTATTTCTTTCATCACATTCCCAGTGGGTCAGAAGTTTACATACACTCAATTAGCATTTGGTAGCATTGCCTTTAAATTGTTTAACTTGGGTCAAACGTTTCTGGTAGCCTTCCACAAGCTTCCCACAATAAGTTGGGTGAATTTTGGCCCATTCCTCCTGACAGAGCTGGTGTAACTGAGTCAGGTTTGTAGGCCTCCTTGCTCGCACACGCTTTTTCAATTCTGCCCACAAATGTTCTATAGGATTGAGGTCAGGGCTTTGTGATGGCAATTCCAATACCTTGACTTTGTTGTCCTTAAGCCATGTTGCCACAACTTTGGAAGTATGCTTGGGGTCATTGTCCATTTGGAAGACCCATTTGCGACCAAGCTTTAACTTCCTGACTAATGTCTTGAGATGTTGCTTCAATATATCCACATAATTTTCTTTCCTCATGATGCCATCTATTTTGTGAAGTGCACCAGTCCCTTCTGCAGCAAAGCACCCCCACAGCATGATGCTGCCACCCCCGTGCTTCATGGTTGGGATGGTGTTCTTCGGCTTGCAAGCCACCACCTTTTTCCTCCAAACATAACGATGGTCATTATGGCCAAACAGTTATATTTTTGTTTCATCAGATCAGAGAACATTTCTCAAAAAAGTATGATCTTTGTCCCCATGTGCAGTTGCAAACCGTAGTCTGGCTTTTTTATGGCGGTTTTGGAGCATTGGCTTCTTCCTTGCTGAGCGGCCTTTCAGGTTATGTCGATATAGGACTCGTTTTACTGTGGATATAGATACTTTTGTACCCGTTTCCTCCAGCATCTTCACAAGGTCCTTTGCTGTTGTTCTGGGATTTATTTGCACTTTTCGCACCAAAGTACGTTCATCTCTAGGAGACAGAACGCATCTCTTTCCTGAGCAGTATGACGGCTGCGTGGTTCCATGGTGTTTATACTTGCGTACTATTGTTTGTACAGATGAACGTGGTACCTTCTGGTGTTGGAAATTGCTCCCAAGGATGAACCAGACTTGTGGAGGTTTACAATTTTTTTTCTGAGGTCTTGGCTGATTTCTTTTGATTTTCCCATGATGTCAAGCAAAGAGGCACTGAGTTTGAAGGTAGGCCTTGAAATACATCCACAGGTACACCTCCAATTGACTCAAATGATGTCAATTAGCCTATCAGAAGCTTCTAAAGCCATGACATCATATTCTGGAATTTTCCAAGCTGTTTAAAGGCACAGTCAACTTAGTGTATGTAAAGTTCTGACCCACTGGAATTGTGATACAGTGAATTATAAGTGAAATACTCTGTCTGTAAACAATTGGAAAAATTACTTGTGTCATGCACAAAGCAGATGTCTTAACCGACTTGCCAAAACTATAGTTTGTTAACAAGACATTTGTGGAGTGGTTGAAAAACAAGTTTTAATGACTCCAACCTAAGTGTATGTAAACTTCCGACTTCAACTGTACATGCCTGTACATGTCTGTACATGTCTGTACATGTCTGTACAACAGTGCCCCCAGAGGCACTAAACAGTGCAGTTCCAGTCGTACACAGCAGAGGGCAGAGAACTCACTGAAAGGTCTTTGGCTCCCAGCCTCTTCCTCTCTTGATTGATGACGGCCTCTAGAACCCTGTAGTACATATCCTCTGTCTGGCTGGAGAACTTCACTCTTCTCTCTACAAACAACAGGAAGTTACTGACAACTGCACATTAATGTCAATATATTAACACAGACACACACACACACACACACACACACCTCTGTCTAGGCTGCGGTTCTCTTCCCATGGTTCCTGGTAGTGCTGGATGAAGGTGTGGAGCATGTCTCTCAGTCTAGTGGAGATGACCTCACTAGGGTTTCTGGCACAGGACCTAAACAAAATACACCTTAAAGAACCATATAGCCACTTTTCTACCCCCATAGACTACTGATAGATATTGCCCACCCATAGGTACAGATCTAGGATAATCTTCCCCCAAATCATAACCTTCTCCATAATGGGAAGAATGTGTAACATAGTAAAACAACATGTATTTTCTTACTCTTCTACAAACTCAACACTGACCATAGATCACAGTGTGCTCTATCATAGGCTACAGGCTCAAATGCATTCCCCCTGCGGCACATTACAGTCTACTACAGTTACGTATGAGGCCCACAGCAGACACATGCCCACCATAGCTGACCTGAATGTTCTGGCCAGACTGTCACTGGGTACACGTCTCCGCCCACTCAGCAGGCCCTTCAGCTGGGTTGCCATGACGACCTCCACCCGCTCACAGCACCTCCGCTGGTAGAGTACGGCTCAGTGTCAGTCAGTGGAGTAGCAGTGGACACCTGTACATAAAGCACACACCAGGCAGAGGTTTGAACACCCCTTTGGAGCGGTACATGAGACCGTATAAATAGGATCATCATTATATTTCTTTGCATGAGAAACATGTGAAACAATGGTTTAAATTTACAACACGAACCACACAGTAATGATACTAAGTCATCTCAGAGATAATTGGGCCTAAAAGGCTTGTGTACTGTATTTAGAGTCAAGTTAAATTGTGTGCGTGTGTGTGGGGAGGGGGCTAGCCTTCAGCTATGAGATGACAACAATGATGAACTGCCAAAATACGGATATTTCCTGTTGAAGAATATTCAGATTTAGTGTGTGAATGAATCTGTTTCTCTGTTTGTCTTGCAGTTCTACAGTTCTGCTGTGGAAGGATTCAAAGAGAGAGAGAGAGAGAGAGAGAGAGAGAGACCCTATCTTATCCTGGAATATACAAGGTCTGAGGACATTTTACATTTGGTTAGAAATAAATAAGGAATGTCGTCCTGTGTGCTACCTACACTCTTAGAAAAAAAGGTGCTATCTAGAACCTTAAAGGGTTCTTCGGCTGTCCCCATAGGAGAACCCTTTGAGGAACCATTTTTGGTTCCATGTAGGACCCTTTCCACAGAGAGTTCTACATAGAACCCAAAAGGTTTTTATTACTGCCACTTTTAGTGAGTTTGGTACACATCCAGTGGATAGGGAGCCATTTATTATGTCCAACATAGGAAGGCCAAGCACAGGAAGTAGCTCTTTCAGTAGTTTAGTTGGAATAGGGTCCAGTATGCAGCTTGAAGGTTTAGAGGCCATGACTATTTTCATGAATGTGTCAAGAGATATAGGATTAAAAATCTTGAGTGTCTCCATTGATCCTAGGTCCTGGCAGTTTTGTGCAGCCTCGCAGATTCAAAGAGGAGTCAGTAATTTGCTTTCTAATGATCATGAGTTCATGAATTCATCACTGCTGAAGTGAAAAGTATTTTCTCTTGGGGAAAGCTGCTTTTTAGTTAGCTTTGCGACAGTATCAAATATACATTTTGGATTGTTCTTATTCTCCTCAATTAGGTTGGAAAAATAGGATGATCGAGCAGCAGTGAGGGCTCTTCGATATTGCACTGTACTTTCTTTCCAAGCTAGTAGGAAGACTTCCAGTTTGGTGGAGCGCCATTTCCGTTCCAATTTTCTGGAAGCTTGTTTCAGGGCTCGGGTATTTTCTGTATACCAGGGAGCTAGTTTCTTGTGACAAATGTTTTTTGTTTTTACGCAAGGTTAAATTTAGATCCTCAATTAGGTCGTTAACTGATTTTTGTACTCCCGACGTCCTTGAGTAGGCGGAGGGAGTCTGGAAGGGCCTCTAGGAATCTTTGGGTTGTCCGAGAATTTATAGCACAGCTTTTGATGGTCCTTGGTTGGGGTCTGAGCAGATTATTTGTTGTGATTGCAAACGTAATAAGATGGTGGTCCTATAGTCCAGGGTTATGAGGAAAAACATTTAGATCCACAATATTTATTCCAAGGGACAAAACTAGATCCAGGGTATGACTGTGGCAATGAGTAGGTCCGAAGACATGTTGGACAAAACCCACTGAGTCGATGATGGCGCCGAAAGCCTTTTGGAGTGGGTCTGTGGATGTTTCCATGTGAATATTAAAGTCACCAAAATGTAGAATATTATCCGATAGGAATTCAGGGAACTCAGTGAGGAACTCTGTATATGGCCCAGGAGGCCTGTAAACAGCAGCTATAAAAAGTGACTGAGTAGGCTGCATAGATTTCATGACTAGAGGCTCAAAAGACATAAATGCAGTCTTTTTTGGGAGGGTAAATTGACATTTGCTATCGAAAATGTTAGCAACACCTCTGCCTTTGCGGGATGTGCGGGGGATATGGTCACTAGTGTAACCAGGAGGAGAGGCCTCATTTAACACAGTAAATTAATCAGGCTTAAGCCATGTTTCAGTCAGGCCAATCACATCAAGATTATGATCAGTGATTAGTTCATTGACCATAACTGCCTTGGAAGTGAGGGATCTAACATTAAGTAGCCCTATTTTGAGATAATAATGACAGGAATGGAGGAGGTCTTTATTCCAGTGAGATTGCTAAGGTGAACACCGCCATGTTTAGTTTTGCTCAACCTAGATCGAGGCACAGACACGGTCTCAATGGGGATAGCTGAGCTGACTACACTGACTGTGCTAGTGGCAGACTCCACTAAGCTGGCATGCTGGCTAACAGCCTGCTGCCTGGCCTGCACCCTATCTCATTGTGGAGCTAGATATGCCCCACAACTACGACAAAACATGCCCCACAACTACGACTATCGCACGCTGGGGCTCTACATAGTCAATGGTAGGCTTCGAGGGGACTCCTACGGTACGTACAACTACAGCTCATGTCTTGGCAGCAGTACTGTAAACTGCTTTATCACTGACCTCAACCCAGAGTCACAGAGCGTTCACAGTCAGCCCACTGACACCTCTATCAGATCACAGCAAAACCACAGCCTACTTGAACAGAGCAATACTCAATCATGAGGCATCAAAGCCAAACAAACTGCATACTATTAAGAAATGCTATAGATGAAAGGAAAGTAGTGTAGAAACCTACCAGAAAACAATTAGCCAAGAACAAATTCAAGTCCAATTTCCTGGACAAAACGTTTCACTGCAATAGTGAAGTTGTAAACTTGGCAGTAGAAAGCATAAACAGTTATTTGACCTCAGCTTCCCTATCAAATCTAAACATTTCAACCAGACAACCAAAGAAAATTAACAACAACGACAAATGGTTTGATGAAGAATGCAAAAAACCTAAGAAAGAAATTGAGGAACCTATCCAACCAAAAACACAAAGACCCAGAAAACCTGAGCCTACGGTTTCACTATGGTGAAATAATAAAACAGTACAGAAATACACTAAGGAAAAAGAAAGAACAGCAAGTCAGAAACCAGCTCAATGTAATTGAATAATCCATAGAATCTAACCACTTCTGGGAAAATTGGAACACACTAAACAAACAACAACATGAAGAGCTATCTATCCAACATGGAGATGCTTGGATAAACCACTTCTCCAATCTTTTCTGGCACTCTAACAAACAGCACAAATATATACATTATCAATAAAAAATCTTAGAGTCAGCTATTAAAGACTACCAGAACCCACTGGATTCTCCAATTACACTGAATGAACTACAGTACAAAATACAAACCCCTCAACCTAAAAAGGCTTGTGGTGTTGATGGTATCTTAAATGAAATGATAAAATATACAGACCACAAATTCCAATTGGCTATACTTAATCTCCTTTAACATCTGGCATCTTCCCCAATATTTGTAACCAAGGACTGATCACCCCAATCCACAGAAGTGGAGACAAATTCGACCCCAATAACTACATTTCCTCAGTGAAAACAATGTCCTGAGCAAATGTCAAATTGGCTTTTTACCAAATTGCCGTACGACAGACCACATATTCACCCTGCACACCCATTTTGACAAACAAACAAACAAAACAAAACAAAAGCAAAGTCTTCTCATGCTTTGTTGATTTCAAAAATGATTTTGACTCAATTTGGCATGAGGGTCTGCTATACAAATTGATGGAAAGCGGTGTTGGGGGAAAACATAAAATCCACGTACACAAACAATGTGTACAAGTATGCGGTTAAAATTGGCAAAAAAACTTGAGCCCCACCATCTTCAAAATGTATACCAACAAATTGGTGAGGGCTCTAGAACAGTCTGAAGCACCCAGCCTACTAGTCTCTGAAGTCAAATGTTTAGTGTTTGCAGATGATCTGGTGCTTCTCCCCAACCAAGCAGCACCTAGATCTTCTGCACATTCTGTCAGACGTGGGCCCTGACAGTTAATCTCAGTAAGACAAAAATATTGGTGTTCCAAAAAAGGTCCAGTTTCCAGCACCACAAATACAAATTCCATCTAGACACTGTTGCCCTAGATCACACAAAACAATATACCTACCTCGGCCTAAACATCAGCACCACATGTAACTTCCACAAAGCCCTCTATGGTTGTGAGGTCTGGGGTCCACTCACAAACCAAGAATTCACAAAATGGGACAAACACCAAATTGAGACTGCATGCCAAATTATGCAAAAAACATCCTCTGTGTACAACATAAAACAGCAAATAATGCATGCAGAGCAGAATTAGGACGATTCCCGCTAATTATCAAAATCCAGAAAATAGCAATTAAATTACACAACCACCTAAAAGGAAGCGGTTCTCAAACCTTCCATAACAAAGCCCTCACCTACAGAGAGATAAACCTGGAGAAGAGTCCCCTCAGCCAGCTGGTACTGGGACTGTGTTCACAAACACAAACAGACCCCACAGAGCCCCAGGACAGCAACACAATTAGACACAACCAAATCACGAGAAAACAAAAAGATAATTACTTGACACATTAGAAATAATTTTTAAAAAACAGAGCCAACTGGAATGTTATTTGGCCCTAAACAGAGAATACACAGTAGCAGAATACCTGACCACTGTGAAGCTTTGAATACCTGACCACTACAAGCTTTGACTATGTACAGACTCAGTGAGCATGGCCTTGCTATCAAGAGAGGTCACCATCAGCAGACTTGGCTCTCAAGAGAAAATAGGCTATGTGCCCACTACCCACAAAATGATATTTGGCCTTGTGTTTTAGGTTATTTTCCTCCTGAGAGTTGAATTTGTCTCCCAGTGTCTGGTGGAAAGCAGACTGAAACAGCTTTTCCTTTAGGATTTTGCCTGTGCTTAACTCTATTCCATTTCTTTACCATGTTCAAAGGGATATTCAATACCTGCTTTTTTTATTTTCACCCATCTACCAATAGGTGCCCTTCTTTGCATTGGAAAACCTCCCTGGTCTTTGTAGTTGAATCTGTGTTTGAAATTCACTGCTCGACTGAGGGACCTTACAGATAATTTTATGTGTGGGTTACAGAGATGAGGTAGTCATTCAAAAATCATGTTAAACATTATTATTTCAGACAGACTGAGTCCATGTAACTTATTATGTGACTTGTTAAGCACATTTTTACTCCTGAACTTATTTAGGCTTGTCATAACAAAGGGGTTGAATACTTATTGACTCAAGACATTTCAGCTTTTCATATTTTAATTAATTTGTAAACATTTCTAAAAACATAATTCCACTTTGACATTATGGGCTATTGTGTGTAGGCCAGTTACACAAAATCTCAATTTAATCCAAATAAAAATTCAGGCTGTAATGCAACAAAATGTGGAAAAAGTCAAGGGGTGTGAATACTTTCTGAAGGCACTGTATTTCCCTCAGATTACAGACCCACAAAGAATTTGAAAACAAATCCAATCTCCCATATCTATTAGGTGAAATACAACAGTGTGCCACCACAGCAGCAAGATTTGTGAAATATTGCCACAAGAAAAGGGCAACCTGTGGAGCCCAAACACCATTGTAAATACAACCTATATTTATCTGCTTATTTATTTCCCCTTTCGTACTTCAACTATTTGCATATTGTTACAACACTGTTCATAGCCAATAATATAACATTTGAAATGTCTATATTCTTTTAAAACTTTTGTGAGCGTAATGTTTACTGTTAATTTCTGATTGTTTATTTCCCTTGTTTATTTCCTTTTTGTTTGTTTATTTCGCTTGCTTAGGCAATGTAAACATAAGTTTCCCATGCCAATAATCGCCTTTGAATTGATTTGAAATTGAGAGAGAGAGGAAAAGCGAGGTGACTCAATGGTAACTCAGTTTCCTCTCCACAGCGATAATCATTTGCACGTGTTCTCCATTTCTCTACCATGCCAAGTTACTGTCACAGACTGCGAGGCACAGACACTGCCCTGGGGTAGAGGATCTCTCTCTATGAGTGTGTGAAAAATAAGAAGTTAAACTGTGGTTTTGAATATAAACCCAATACGTTAGTGAGTGGGGAGGTGGATGCTGATTCCGAACATGTTGTGTACTATATCTGAGGACTAATTCAAGTTATAGTAAGTCAGTGAGATAAGCTGGATGTGGTTATTGGGGAGGTATTTGAGGATGATGCTAGCAATGACTGTGTCCTTATGAGTTGCAGGTGATAATCAGTTTTACTTTGTCCACCCTAAGGAGTACCACTTTGGGTAGAGAGACCAACACAGAGAGAGACAGAGAGGGAGTGAGTGAGAGCAATAGAGAGAGGTAGAGAGAGAGAGAAAGAGCAACAGAGAGAGAGAAACAGAGGGCTACAAGCTAAGATGTAAGGTTATACTAGGTGAAGTTCTCGATATTCTGGTGTGACTCATAACTGTACATCTGTAATTTACAGCCAGAGCCAGGCTGAGGCTGGACAGGCCACTGTTGAACCAAATCAATTCCTGTGTTCTGTCAGAGTCAAACCTGTACACTATGTTCCTGGACACTGTCACACAGTAAACCACTGTCATGGAATCAAATAATACCTTCCATTCATTCACTACAAGCTGTTCCAACCACAGACCCTGGCCAACAGGCCTGGGTTCAAATACTATTTGAAATCTTTCAAACACTTTAGCTGGGCTTGATTGAGCTTGCTTGGCGCAACTGAACCCAGGCCTGTTGGGTTCAAGTGCAAACCCTACTCATATGGCATTACAGGCTTGTGCTAAAAGTATTTGAAATATTTCAGATAGCATTTTAATCCAGGTCTGCTGGCGAACCTATCCCTCTCTCACTCTGCAGTATTGGGACGAAGCCTTGGTTGGCTTGGCTCTACTCCATCCACTACCAGGAAAACTGATTTAGCTCACCTCCAACTGAGTCAGTTCAACCTTCCTATCTGTTCTGTGGAAGTTGATGGTTATAGTAAGGCTTTATCTCTCTGTCACTGTAACATCCCCCCTGAGAGAGCAAGCCACAGTCGTAAGGGAGTGGTAGCTACTATGCGTTATGTACTAACATTACTATGCATATGCTCTCACCCACGTGGGCTACACACCGGATGTGGGCTAGTGGCCCATTAACTGACAACATGTGCATCACCAGCTACCAACTCCTTCAGAATCCGGTTATATCACCTTACCTACCACCACCATGCGTCTCTCTGTTCCCATGTTGGCTCTCTGTGACTCTGCAATCTCTTTAGAACTGACTGACTGCAGTGTCAGTGACAACCTCCAGAATACGTTTACTTTCTACAGTCATTTTGGGGCACACACATCGTCCAAAATACATATAAAACTTAAGTGTTTTGCCTCCATTTCAGAGAAATGGAACAGACTCCCACCAGCCACAAATCATACATTATCATCACCCATAATAACGTTCTCTTCACTCAATTAGACACACATCAACCCAGGACAAATAACATCCTGTGACATGTTATTTCCTGCAGTGTTACTAAAAACAGTTCCTTTTACAGAGACAGAGCGAGTCAAAAGAGCTGCAGTGATGCAACAAGCTACTTACAGAGAGGCTCCTGAGAAGGATCTGATTGTGTTTAGTAGAGGCTTGGAGACCTAGCTATACTGGCAACACACTGCCTCTCTGCTTCTCTCTCTCTGCGGGACTAGCCAGGCTGAACAGCTGTGGGTGTGTGGGTGAACATCGGAGCAGCACAGAGCAGTGAGCACCACTATATGTCTACAGGCAGGCAGTAGACTGCAGTGCTCTGAGACAGAGAGGAAGCTGAAGCTCAGGGTCAGCCCATTGGCTCACAACAGACAAGCCCCAACTTGTCATCTGCAATGGGTTGCTCTGATAAGAGGCCTGAGGGCTGAGACTCACAGAGCTACAAGCGCCCCCTGGGGTAGAGCAGGAACATAACAGGGCATAAAGGAAGCAGACGAATAACAGTACATTAATCAGTAATGCTTTACAACAATATATACTATATCAGCTTTGAAAATGACATTTTAACCAGACTATTAACTGAGGCATTATCATCCTATATTTATATTGCCAGTGAACAATAAGATAAACAACATTGTAATTCTGGATACCTTGAAGTGCCTGTAAATGGGTCAATGTGAAATAATAGATAAAGACAGGCTTCATGGATAGTCAGAATATGTTTAATAAAAATAATTAAACTTCAATTTCCTCTATATAACTTCATAGAAAGTAATCCAATAAATTACAAATGACTTTTTAAGACGCTTGTCCTCTCCACTACATAACGCATTATTCGACTACACAGACCACAACTTGCAAATATTGCAACTGTCCAAAAAACAACCAAACAAAAACAAGAACAGACTTGATGACTTTTAGGATATTATCAAGCTTGAAACAAAAAATACAATGCCAATAATCTATTTTCGTCATTTCAGCAACTACTTTACCCAAAATGAAAATTCAAATTCACTTGTAGTACTGTGTGCTTTATTAGTCTCTGTCTGTTGCATATTGGTCATTTCATTGTGCCAGTGAGGTGAGTCTATGACTGCTTCTAATCAGTCAGTCCAGCACTGTAGATGTATGTGACATAGGGAGACCTATAACAAACTACCAGAAATATCTAATCAAAATACATAATAAAAACAAATAAATTGTTCAATCTTTAGTCAAATACAGCTCTCCCCTCAGTACTAACATTTCAACTTAAACAGAGCTATCGGTCTGCCTATAGCAAATTAAGTAGGCTCCTTGTCACACTAGTAGGAATGAATCCATGTCTGCCTGTTGGGTCTGAAAATAAAGCCTGCTAAAACAATCATATTTGGGTGAATATTGTAACCTGGAAGCAGCAAAGAATGGGCTTCTGCCTAAGGGCACTGGTAGTTCTATGGATAGTGTAGGTACGTAGAAGTTGAACAAAATGACAGTTGAAGTTTTTTCTGTTGAATTCACTAGGCTTGTGAGGCCTAGTGGCGGAACCAGCCCAAACTAAAGTGGCAAACTAAATCTATTTAGGTTGACTTTCAGGAAGAGTAACAACCTGGCTGTCTCTGCGTTTACACACAGAAACCATGGTAAAGGACATCATAGGTGAATGGGGAAAACAAAACACCTTTAAAGTAAATGGAGTGTCTTCATCAGTCTTGGTTTAGACAACAGGGCAGGGCTGTCTGTCTGGTGGGCTTGTATACGTTGATAAATGGGTTCAATATAGGCTCAGTGAACAGCTAAATGAAGGCTGAAAGAGACTAAATGAATGTCTCTACCACAGATGTAACCTGTTGTGACGTTTCATTGTCGCCACGTAAAATAAAATGTCCCATTCCTCTTCAAGATCATTTCCAAATGTGTGCCTGCCTAGCAGTCCAATGTGTACCGACAGTTCTCCTAAACGGTGCTGTATCTATCAGGAAATCACTGTTCCACTAAACATAATTACAAAAGGTACTTAGGATATAATGAATTCCAGTGTCAGTGTCTCCCTTGATTACCACGAGGATGAGCACAGATGAGCCATGTCATCCGGTCATTAATAAATACTCCGCCATAGAGCCATTGAAAATAAGGAACATAAAACATCTATCTGTTAAATAAGATCAGATACTGACTGGGAAGTTGAGTGAGAAAGTGAGTGTGTGAAATACAAAGAGGTACAGCGAGCGTAAGGACACTTCTACATCTATTGGTCTGTCTGCAGCTCCAGTCATCAGTGGATTGATCAGTAAGACATGGAGAAATTAACTAGCCTGGTGAAACCAGACTGAACCATGTGTTTAGTGATGAAACAGCATATCAGTTTGGATTCCATGCTAGAAATTAACACTTTAAAAGCCTCCAATTCCCATGAAACAAAGATCATAGCCAGTAAAGCAGCTCAGCTGTAAAGGAAGGTCTGGATATTCAGCCTTGCTCAAACCTATCGAAGTATAAACTATGCTTTTAAACAATCAATTATGAAATTAATTTAGATTACTCAGTAATCTACAATTATATCAGAGACAATACAAACCCTTGTGGTCCGCCAATACACATACGGTGTAGCTACTTACATTTTAGTCATTTAGCAGACGCTCTTATCCAGAGCGACTTACAGTTAGTGAGTGCATACATTTTTCATACTGGCCCCCCATGGGAAACGAACCCACAACCTTGGCGTTGCAAACACCATGCTCTACCAACTGAGCTACAGGGGTCCATTACTAGTTCATGATAGAAAGGTAATTCAACACAACAGGGACACACAGTGTTCAGAATGGAAGACTACAGACATCACCCACAGTCAGAGCTCATCTGAGATTCTTCAGCTCACTCGATAGCAGAAGGCAGCACTCCACACGAACACACACTGGTGGTGTTATGAGTGGAACACAGATACGGATGGGCTGAGTATTAAAGATGGCTCAGGGGGTGTTGATTATACCATGTCGACTAGACCAGCAGTTGCTGTTTATGTGACTTCACTATTGGTTGTAGAACACAATGCTCAAGCCTCCCCAATACACACCACCATACACAATGGACCGATTGATGTTGACCGCATGGGACACAATCAGTACAGGGCCTGAAGGACACACTGACTCAGCCAAAACGGAAAGAAACGCCCACGCAAACAAACACACAGCCAGAACACAGTGAGTGGTAGTCCCTCTTGCAGACACAAGGCGCTGGAAGAGACTAAGCGAGTGGAAGCTCTCAAGAGTATGCCATGAAGAACACACATTCCAGTGGGGACGAGTGAGCCAGCCTTGCTAACACACACACACACAACAGGATGTATTTGCAGTGAACTCAATCCCTTCTATACCCCGCTGAGGTAACGATGCAGTCAAAAACCCCAGGGTGGAATTTTCTTCAAAAGTGTACCATGTCCTGAACACCACTTCCTGAAGCTGAACTACAACAGAGAAGTAGTGTATTTTCTGTCCTGGCGAGAGCAGTATTTTGGCACAGCGTGCTGTCAGTTTGCTGTCCTTTCAGTCCTTAGGGGAATAGACCCAACTGGTTATGTGCTAGCGAGTGTAATATGGGAAACTAAAGTGCACCTGTGTCAGAAGAACCATCTATGTGTCATTGTGTGAGTGTGTAGGATGTGCGAGACAGACAGGGGAGAATACATTCCAAAATGAACACTAGCATACTACTTAGAATGAATGTCCAATACATTGCTTCATTCTAATAACTATGTTAGTGTGGACATTGGAACAGAGACTGAACACCCCTCCCTTGTGTGAGAAACATGGCTGATGAAGGATCTACAGCTTCAGTGACATTCATTAGCTGCCCGAGTTATTGCTGACTTTTCCAAACGTATGATCCGCAAAGTATACTGTAAGTGTCAAGAAGAAAACCTATAAAAGTATTTACAAAGGAAAGTTAAATATTCATCAAGTTCTTTCCCCCCCCACTCCAAAATATATTACCAGTACAGCTCAGCAAAGAGCGTGTATTTATTTCCTCTTTTTTAATGAAATTAAATCCCAACATGATAATTACAATAATGCCATTTTGACTTATTTTCTCAGTTTGTTGCAATTGTACATCACCGTGTGTTGGCCTAATACAATTTCACAGAGTTCAGAAATCTACTAAAGTTTGACATGCAAAATGTCTCTCAAAACAAGATTGTACCTTTTTGAACAAACACTGAAATTTAATTTCAGTTTCTCCTAGGTCATGGTTCTTCTTGTTTCAGTTTTGTAGTCTTTATTACACAACATTTTTGTTAGTTTTCGTATTTACATGAAAAGAAATCACAATGTAAGTGCAGGGAAATCCATATATATGTGTAATATATATATATATGTGTGTACATTTCTAACAGATACATAAATATATTTATATATTCATAAGGCTCAGTCTTCATCGCTGGAGTCTGATGACCCATCAGATGATGAAGAAGAGCTCCCAGACTCTGATGAAGATGACTCCGCCTTCCCCGAGCCTTCTGGACCACTGTTCTCCTCCTTCTGTTCCCCTGATTCCTCCTCCTCCTTGTCACCAAGACCCTCCTCTTCCTGACGCTCTGGTGTTCTCCTGGGCGACAGAGGTTTTGAGGGGGAAGTCTTGAGGGACTTAGAGGTCTTAGTGGGCTTGTGGGGTTTGTGGTCACTGTTTGAGTCACTGTGTGGCTGCTGTGTGGTGGACACAGGAAGGTTAAGGCCTGGAGTGAGATGCATCCCTGGGTAAAGCATACTGGAGAGTAACAAGGGGTTAAGAGACAGAGGGTGACTGGAGGCTGCCTGGGCAGCAGAAGCACTTAGTGGGGTGGTGGTGGTGGAGGTGGTGGCAGAGGAACTGGAGGAGGAAGGGACACTGGGGACACGGCCATCCCCGGTCCCGCTTTGACCTTCTGTCCTTTCACCTTTTGTGTCCGAGGTGTGGGAGGGGCCGTGGGAGTGGGAGGAGGAGGTGGCTTTGGAGGAGGCAGACGAGGGCTCCCCTCCTCCTCCTTCTCTGCTTCCCTTCTTCCTCTTCCTCTGCTCCGCTCCCCCCGTGGCATCTTGTGGGGGATTCCCCAGCAGACCCCCCATGCTCAGGAGGTTGGGAAGCCCGGCCATGCCAGAGAGCATCATGGGAAACATGGCGGCCAGGTTGTTAGCATCGGTGGGCAGGCCCATGAGGCCGGCAGTGAGCTGCAGTGACTGGAGACTTTGGAGGTTCTGCTGGAAGGCCTGTAGACTAGACAGATCCATGCCAGAGAGGAGGCCGTTGGCCAGCAGGGGGTTGAGGCCCAGGGATGAGGCCCCCTGGTTGGCTGCAGCTGCAGCCTTGGCCAGGGCGCTCTTTGGCCTCCGTCCACGCCGACTCACCTCCTCTGGTACGATGGGTCCTGTCAGGATCCGGTCAAACATGCTCTCTGGGAGGTAGCCCTAAAGGACAGACAGAGAAACACAGGGTTAGCACTCTAATCAACAACTTCATTAGATAACTACAGTTATAAACTGGGTAGTTCGAGCCCTGAATGCTGATTGGCTGACAACCTGTGGTATATGAGACAGTATTTGTAATAAAAATAAAAATAAATGATTTAACCTTTATTTAACCAGGTAAGCCAGTTGAGAACAAGTTCTCATTTACAACTGCGACCTGGCCAAGATAAAGCAAAGCAGTGCGGAAAAAACAACAACAACACAGAGTTACATATGGAATAAACAAAACGTACAGTCAATAACACAATAGAAAATCTATATACAGTGTGTGCAAATGTAGTAAGTTATGGAGGTAAGGCAATAAATAAGCCATAGTGCAAAATAATTACAATTATAATTTAGTATTAACACTGGAGTGATAGATGTGCAGAAGATGATGTGCAAATAGAGATACTGGGGTGCAAATGAGCAAAATAAATAATGTAAATAACAATATGGGGGTGAGGTAGTTGGGTGGGCTAATTACAGATGGGCTGTGTACAGGTGCAGTGATCGGTAAGCTGCTCTGACAACTGACGCTTAAATTTAGTGAGGGAGATAAGTGTCTCCAGCTTCAGAGATTTTTGCAGTTCGTTCCAGTCATTTGCAGCAGAGAACTGGAAGGAATGGCGACCAAAGGAGGTGTTGGCTTTGGGGATGACCAGTGAGATATACCTGCTGGAACGCATATACGTATACCACGGGTATGACAAAACATGTAACCAGCTTATAATAGCAATGAGGCTGCTCAGGGTTTGTGGTATATGGCCAATATATCACGGCTAAGGGCTGTATCCAGGCACTCCTCATTGCATCGTGCTTAAGAACAGCCCTTAGCCATGGTATATTGGCTATATACCACACACCCTCAGGCCTTATTGCTTAACTATACCACAGTTAATGCACTGACAACTAGCCAAGCTAGATACATGTAGTTCTATTATTGGTCTTTCATAGCATACACATAAAGTAGGCTTGTGGGGTGTTCCACAGCATATGAAGGGTTGTGAGGGAGAGGCTATCAGACTCACCGACTGCTTGACCACGTCGGCCCACTCTGGTGGAACCCCGTACTCTGGGTTCTCCTGAAGGAACCGACACAGGTCCTTTAGAGGGGGGGCGAAGGCACCACCAACCTGGGGAGAGGAGAGGAGGACAACATGAGACAAAGTAGAAGTTGTACAACCCACACACACCCACTCCCACACACAGTAGACTACTGCTGCCTCACCTTCCGTGCATTTCTCCTGTTGATGATCTGGACCCTCTCCTCTCCTGTCAGACTGTTGACATCAATCTTGTTGGGGTTTCTGCAGCGATGCCTCTTCTGCTTGGGTCTACCGTCCTGCTGGAACTGCTGCAGCTGCATCTTATTCACTCCCTGAGGAGGAGAAGAGAGGGTCAGGGATACAGAGGTTCAACTACAGGACTACATCCAAAACAATATCTACTGTCAATGGAAATCAAGGTTGGGGTCAATTGCATTTCGATTCAAATTGCAAATTGAATTTTTGTTTGCGTCATGAATTGACTGAATTGAAATGGAATTGACCGTAACCCTGACGGATATCTATTGTCGTTGTACAGTATATTCACAGCCGTTAATAAACCTTGGTTAGGGAAAGAGGAATGGTGAATCAGAGGGTGAGGAAGAGGAAGGGAGGGACTCACAGGGATGAAGGCCCCTGTGTCAGCCACAAAGCCTGGGTGTTCTTTCAGCCACAGCTCCAGCTCCCTCCTCCTGGGGGCATCGTCTCCGGCCAGACGGGTCCCATCTTTCAGGTTGATGACAGAGACCCTGCTCTCTGTGTCCATGGGGCCCAGGGGCTGGCCCCCTAGGGGGTTACCCTGACCTGAGGGAATAGACAGCCCAGTGCCAGCCTGACCCATACCACCCCACGCTGGGGGCACCTGGAGAGGCAGGGGCATACGTCAGCCCATCAGTGAATAACAAGTGGCTAGTGTTTGTATATGCATGCTAGCACACCCCACATACGGTCTCCTATCCTTCAGCACACACAGTAAATCCCATATATTTTTTTAATTGCTAGGTAAACACATTTAGGCATACTCTTTGAACTTTAAATATCTCTTAAAACCATGTAATATAATGTGGCTTTCCAGTACCCAGTGTTTAAGGACTAAATGTTGAAGGACCTAAGATGGCAATATAGGAGAGAGAGGATTGACAGGGAAGTAAAGTAAGATCTTACGATTTCGGGCACGGCTGGTATTCTGTTCCTGTTCATAAAGAGCAGGTCCATCCCCTCCACATTCTTCCTCCTTCCTCTCCTCCTCTTCACCACCGGCTGGCCATCCATACCGCCGTTCAGCTTCATCTGACCCGCCAGACCTGTAGAGGCTGGAAAAACACAAACAACGTGTCGCAGATTAAAACAGAAGACTAAAGCAGTACACACAATCACAATCATGAATGTACAACATATGGGGAAATGTATCTTTGCTGCCATCTAGTGGTAGCAAATACAAAGCACCCAGTTTAGCTTTGATATTTCTCATGAAGGGTTTTCTTTAATTAATATTAATATGCCATTTAGCAGACGCTTTTATCCAAAGTGACTTACAGTCATGTGGGCATACATTTTTACGTATGGGTGGTCCCGGGGATCGAACCCACTACCCTGGCATTACAAGCGCCATGCTCTACCAATTGAGCTACAGAGGACCACCAGACAGGTATGAACTATCAATTGTATAAACAAACAATACATTGTTGTAAGAACAACCTTGTGGTCAGCCCTACTTTGTACGTACCGTGTGGGAAGCTGGCAGCCTGGGGCTTGGTGAAGTCAGCCAGACTGGTGTCTGAGGCACTCTGGAGCTCATGGAGCCTTGTAAGGTACTGCTGCTGGCTCAGGGGCCCCTCCTCAGGTTCTAGGGGCCTCTTCAGGGGCTGGCCGGGCCCCTGCTTCTGGAAGGTCAGCTTCAGACCACCCTCCTGCTGCAGAGAGAGAGAGGCTGTCAGTCAATCACACAGAAACACAAGGTCACACTGTCTGATGGCATTGGAGCCCCTTCTACAGAAAGAAAACGAACCAAAACATAACAGAAAAGGGGGAGGGGGTCTAAGTGCTTGTTTTGATTTTCACTGCATTGGCACAATACTTTGTTGGCTTGTCAGGCTTCGCTCTAAGAGCATTCTGTATGCTAGTTTCATTCTGTATGCTAGTTTCTAAGTTGGAAGTTGGGATAGCTATGGGTGGGGACACAGCATAAACTGTAGCAGCTAGAAGCATACAGTGGAGGTTGTCTATGCAATGCAGGGAAGGCAGCAGCTTTCAGCATATTCCTTATTAAGGTCAAGATTCCAGCCAAACTCGTCAGAAAAGCCCCAGCAACCCTGTAGCAGCAGTCAGTGGCCATTTTATAGAATATTTGACAAAAATGCTCCTCCCTCTGTTGCTATGGCAATGTAGGCTCATAGCTAGCTACTGTAGTATTAAAGCAAGCAGGAAGCAGGCCTGCATGGTTAATAGCCCAGCTGCCATCAGCCCCATTAGAGACAGAACACCCACAGTACTACAGCCTCATCACAATCACCCAGAGTAGAAAGCCAGCCCCATCTCAATCATATTAACCCTCTCAAACCCCAGTGTCTCTCCACACTAAGCTTCTTATTAGCTTCCCATCCATGAATGACTGATTTATGTCAAAATGTAATTACAGCCCCGGAGCCCAATCCACATGGAGTGGGTAGAAATTAAAGAGGGTATTACTATTAAACAAATCAGTGCTGTAGGCAGCAGCCAAAACAACAAAATCAAAATCCCCAACAAAACATGCTGAAACACCGCAATTAGGCTTTGGAGTGGTGTGGGGTCCTACGAGAGGGGAGTAACAGAAATCAACATACTTCATTCATTTTCACTGAGAACTCCTTTTCTCCTGCAACATGCTTCTTCACCTTTGAACCCTGAGGGGAGGCAGAGGGGTCCTCTGAGGCCGAGGCGGAAGCTGAGCAGAGGTTGCTGCTGTTGTTGGCCGCGGCTGCATTGTCCAGCAGCTTGGTGGTATAGAAGGAGGCTACGGCCCCTCCTGCCTCGTACGCCCGCCGGGCCCCCGGCCACTTCCCCTTCAGCACTGCCTGGCAGATACTGTCCAGACGGTTGATCATCACACGGTCCTACAGGGGGACAGGGGACATTATAAAATGGGTTGTTTGGATTCCTGGATGCTGATTGGCTTTTGCCCGGACTATATCGTCTGCTGGAAGGATGAAATAAAACTGGATTATCGTGAACAACACCCTCCTAAACTGCTGTTTCAACATGGTTGGGATTCTCAGGAAACCCAAACACAAAGAGGTTTGGTGTGTGTGTTTACCTTGGGCCAGTAGGATGCAGCCAGCATGTATCCTCCCTGGTAGGGGTGGTGGTGTGAGTTGTTGCTGACACCGTTCTCTGTCACGTGACTGTCCTGCATCTCATCCTGAGTGGTGCTGAGAGACGCCACGCTGTCTTCGTCAAATCCCTTCACACTGGCCACTGTCGGGACTGGAAGAACATGCAATATAACTGTCATTTAGAAAACCTCAAACTACTTCAGACAGCCTAACAACTTTGGCAAAATCACAACCTTAATTGCCTCAATGGTACTGTAAAAGTATTTCACTGCAAGAGCCAAAAGACACCAGAGAACACCAGAATAATAACAGCAGCACTCACCCTTGGTTTTTCCTTCCTCTCCCTCACTCTCACTGTCATCAGAGGAAGATGAAGATGAGGAAGAGGAAGATGAGGAGCCTGATGAGCAGGATGAAGACGAAGAAGAGCTGGATCCGGAGCGTGAGGAGGAAGAGGACGACGATGACGATGATGAAGAAGATCGTGATGAAGAGCTGGAGGAGGAGCCGTCCGAGTCGGAGTCTGACGCTGCGGAGGCGGCTCGTCTGGCCTCCCTTCGACTTCTTTTATTGGCTCTCTTCTCTTTCCTGGCGGCTGAGTTGGGCGTGAGAGGCTTGGTCCGTGCTGCCACCATGTGGCTCTCATTCTCTCCTTTCACCACTCCCAGGTCAGGCTTCTCCTCTATCCCTGTAGGGGTGAGAGGGGCGGGCTGGGGACTCCACCCTTCCCCCTCCACCTGACCCCCTCTCTCCATGCTTTCCTCCCCCTCTGAGAGAGGTTCTTCTTTGGGCACTGCCCCCGGGATGTCCTCCCTCTCCCTCTGGGCTGGGGCAGGCACTGGGGACCCTGCCAAGGCTGGGTCTCTATTAGCCTGGTACTGGGGGTTCAGGAGCGGAGTAGAGTTCTGGGATGGCTGTTGGACTCCTTTATTCTGGCTGTAGTTGCGCTGGGCAGCCATGAAGCAGAGCTCTGGGTCTCGGAGGATGTGGTAGTCTGTGCGGCTGACGCCGTGCTTAGCGGCCCCGATTAGGAGGTCTCGGTCGTGGGTACCGGTCTCCCACCACACGGGCAGGTCCGAGCCCAGCTGGCACAGGGGCAGGCGCTCGTAGAGCAAGGGGTGGTGCAGGACCTGTTCCCTGACCTGGCGTAGCAGCTCTACTCTGTAGAGCGTACGAGATGCACGCTCCTCTGTGATGGGCTGAATGGACAGAGAGGGGTCCACCGCTGTGTCTAGAGAGGGTGAGAGAGGGAATAAGGCTGTCCTGCATAATTCATACATCTGTGTTTGCATTTTGTGTGAACTTATTCCACTCGCTGTTTAACTTTCCATAGATCGTTAACTTTATCACTTGCTTGTTTCCCCAGCATTTCCTTAAATCATTAATCTTGACATACTGTAGTACATTATCAGCAGGTACTGTATTAGTAAGCACACAACTCCTCTAATAAACGACAGTATACAGCTTATAAGTATATTGACTTCCACGCCTTTTCTACAGGTGGCACAGCATGGATGAACAGTATCTCTCTCACCTCCTTCTCTGGGTGGCAGGCGACACACTCTCCTGCACATGGCGGTGAAGGCCCACAGGTACTTCTGCAGACTCTCGTCTGTCTTCTTGTGCAGCCGAGCCATGGCTCTGAACTTGGTCCAGTCGAAACGGCCCAGGTCTGGGTCAAACACCACACCAAATGTTGACACCACACGGTAGAAATCAGCTTCCTCTCGCCTTGTCCATCTGGGGAGAGCGGGAGGGAGAGAGAAACAGAGAGAAAGAGAAATAGGGGGAGAGATAGAGATATAGACAGAGAGAGGGAGGAGAGAAAGAGAACAGGAGACAGTGATAAGCACTTCACCCATCTAAGTGGTATAAGGTATAGACCGTGGTTAGGGTACGTTTCTGTCCAGGCCTTGCAGCTTCACTCACCTCTGCTGGCGTTCTATCTTGGCGGCCATCTTGGGGTTGATCGTGTCGTTGAGGGTGGGTGGCAGGGGGCACAGTGAGGGCGTGACCTGAGTGGTGTGCTGTGTCTGGGCCTGGTGGATGTGGAGGATCTGTCTGGACTTGGTGTAGCGCTGAGAGGCCGTGATCAGACGTCTCAGTCTGGCTGTTAGTACTGAGGACGAGGGCCAGTAGGCTGTATCTCCTCCTCCACCTAACCCCTCCATCATCACTGGAACACCCTCTGGAGAGCACACACACACAATGTTAAACCAGGGAGAACGCTTTTTAAGTTGTTTTATAGTAGTGGAAGAAGTTGTGGTAGTTTCAGGAGTAGTAGCACTAGTCGTAGTGACTGTTTGTAGTAGTAGTGACTGGTAGTAGTAGTAGTAGTGACTGGTAGTAGTAGTAGTAGTAGTGACTGTTTGTAGTAGCAGTGACTGGTAGTAGTAGTAGTAGTAGTAGTAGTAGTAGCAGCAGCAGCAGCAGCAGTAGTAGTGACTGGTAGTAGTAGTAGTAGTAGTAACTGGTAGTAGTAGTAGTAGTAGTAGTAGTAGTAGTAGTAGTAACTGGTAGTAGTAGTAGTAGTAGTAGCAGTAGTAGTAGTAGTAGTAGTAGTAGTAGTAGTAGTAGTAGTAGTAGTAGTGACAGGTAGTAGTAGTAGTGACTGGTAGTAGTAGAGACTGGTAGTAGTAGTAGTAGAAGTAGTAGTAGTAGTAGTAGTTAGTGGTGGCATTAGTAGTAGTGACTAGTAGTAGTAGTAGTAGTAGTAGTAGTAGTAGTAGTAGTAGTAGTAGTAGTAGTTAGTGGTGGCATTAGTAGTAGTGACTAGAAATAGTAGTAGTAGTAGTAGTAGTAGTAGTAGTAGTAGTAGTAGTAGTAGTAGTAGTAGTAGTAGTGGTGACTGGTAGTAGTAGTAGTAGTAGTAGTAGTAGTAGTAGTGACTGTTGTAGTAGTGACTGGTAGTAATAGTAGTAGTGACTGGTAGTAGTAGTAGTAGTGACTGGTAGTAGTAGTAGTAGTAGTAGTAGTAGTAGTAGTAGTAGTAGTAGTAGTAGTAGTGACTGGTAGTGACTTGTAGTAGTGACTGGTAGTAGTAGTAGTAGTATAGTAGTAGTGACTTGTAGTAGTGACTGGTAGTAGTAGCAGTGACTGGTAGTAGTAGCAGTAGTAGTAGTAGTAGTAGTAGTAGTAGTAGTAGTAGTAGTAGTAGTAGTAGTAGTAGTAGTAGTGACTTGTATTAGTGACTGGTAGTAGTAGCAGTGACTGGTAGTAGTAGTAGTGACTGCAGTAGATATAGTAATATGATGTGTATTGGTTTTGATAGTACAAAAGCTGAGTAGAAAGAGACAGGATAGAAAGATATAACTGACCTCCAGGATTATCTGTGACAACCAGGTCTCCAGGAGAGGAGGCGTCATCCTATGGAGGAGAGAAGTGTATGTTCAAACACTGGACACAGAACTGGACACAATAACATTCAAAACAACTTGTATTCTCTAGTCTCTAAAAGGGCAGAGAATACACATGCCAGTCAGTGTGTACAGCAGCCTTATCTGTTGGCTGTGCTGGCTCTGCTCTGCCCCCCTGCGCTGTGGCCTCACCTCCATATCGTCCTTCAGCAAGGCTGGGGCAGGCTTGTATTCTGGGTCATCCACGTCCCTGCAAACACAGATAACAACAGTCAGCCAGCCAGTAAGTCAGTCAGTCAGTCAGCAAGGGCCACACAAGGTGAGACAGGGGAACTTGCAGGCAGCTCCTAACAACTCTGAACTAAACAGACTCAGATTCATGTCAGAAAATGTTTTTTATTTGTCAAAACGTTTCTGGTTTCTTCCTTTTCTAGCATAGCTTTATGACTGGTTATAAAAAGTGTTACAACAACTCAAACTTTTTAATTGTGTCATTGTGTGTCTAGACCCTGTCTGACTCAGTGGAGGAGACCAACAAGCTAGCTAGCTGACTTAGTCAGTCAGACTGTCTGCCATGATGTGTAATGTTACCTACCCATCCATGAAGTCATTGGCTCTCTGTTCAGCAGCGATGGCCTTCTCGTCTGGTCGGCCCACCCGCTCTAGGAAGCAGAGGGCAGGGTCTGCACGCACCGTGTTGTACTTCTCATAACCTGTATGAGTGGACGACAGCGGAGAGATAAGCAAACAGAGGTTAGCTAAATACGCTCATGGACACAAAGATATATATATATATTTAAACATACAGCTGGCCACTTTCCCCCAAAGGCGAGTGTGACAGCTGTCATCCAACGTAAACTAGATCCCAACGGAAAAACATGAAAACACCTATAGTACATTTTCCACATGACACTACAATCTCAGAATTGTACATACTATACTGTATCTGACCCTTTTTGCCTGTCTTCATTTGTCTAGGCTCTGTTCTAATATCCATTCTAGTAAACCCACTTAGAATACATGCCCAAAACATGACTTTATGCTAAGTGTTATGCTAGTATAGTAGCCCTTGTATCACACATTCCTAGTTGTCTCAGGCCTGTGCGTCAGTTAGCACATCCCTGGTCCCTGTTGTCGACTCACCGTGCTTGTAGACCCCCAACAGCAGACACTTGTCAGAGATGTTGTCCCACCACAGGGCTGGTAGCTCAGAGCTGTCGGGCTCAGGAACCCAGATCTTGATCTCACTGAGGAGGAGGGGGGTGTGAACAGAACACACACAATATGAGAGGAGGAACATGCCGATACATGTATAGCATGGGGAACTCATGGGTACTATGACAGCTGGGTTTCCATTCCAACATAGATTCTCAGATAAGCAACGGTGTGGAACAACCAAAACCCTGAGCTCCGATAAGACTTTAAGGTCAGCATCAAGGCTGAAAATGTGTTTGGGTACTAAAAATACTAAACGATTTTCCTCACCCACTTCTGTATATCCTCATCAATATTATTGGTTCTGAGAAGCTGCTGATCCATCTTTGAACAGCAGGTGGTGACTACTGACTTTCCTTCCCTGAGTCTGACTAGCTGTGCCCTCCTTCAGACATGGACTTTCCTTCCCTGAGTCTGACTAGCTGTGCCCTCCTTCAGACATGGACTTTCCTTCCCTGAGTCTGACTAGCTGTGCCCTCCTTCAGACATGGACTTTCCTTCCCTGAGTCTGACTAGCTGTGCCCTCCTTCAGACATGGACTTTCCTTCCCTGAGTCTGACTAGCTGTGCCCTCCTCCAGACATGGACTTTCCTTCCCTGAGTCTGACTAGCTGTGCCCTCCTCCAGACATGGACTTTCCTTCCCTGAGTCTGACTAGCTGTGCCCTCCTTCAGACATGGACTTTCCTTCCCTGAGTCTGACTAGCTGTGCCCTCTTTCAGACATGGACTTTCCTTCCCTGAGTCTGACTAGCTGTGCCCTCCTCCAGACATGGACTTTCCTTCCCTGAGTCTGACTAGCTGTGCCCTCCTTCAGACATGGACTTTCCTTCCCTGAGTCTGACTAGCTGTGCCCTCCTTCAGACATGGACTTTCCTTCCCTGAGTCTGACTAGCTGTGCCCTCCTTCAGACATGGACTTTCCTTCCCTGAGTCTGACTAGCTGTGCCCTCCTTCAGACATGGACTTTCCTTCCCTGAGTCTGACTAGCTGTGCCCTCCTTCAGACATGGACTTTCCTTCCCTGAGTCTGACTAGCTGTGCCCTCCATGGTGATAGATAGAGACAGCAACAGTATGTATGGGAACAACCTGTCATGTTTGGTCTATTCCTTACCATGGAAAACATGAACAACATAGGCCTATGAATTAACAGGTTTTTATTTGAAAAGTGAATGTAAACTGAACCTTTTAAAACGATGTGTCTGCTGAATTTGTGTGCCAGCAGCTTACCAGAAATCCCAAACTTAAACAAATACTGGCATAGTGCTGGCAGCCTGGCTGAACTGGTTGGCATAACATTCAATCTAGCCTGAATAGCCACCGATCAATCCGACCATCTCAAAATAATGGAGTAAATAGTGTAATCCTCTTCAAATAATCTAATAACTGAAATTAACAAAAGTAGAGGACAGACAGAGAGAGCAGCTGTTTAGAGGTGTTTGGTTGTAAATGAGGTGAAAGTTCAGCTCACCTGGAGTCCACGCCGTCTAGTATCTTCTGGGACTGGCTTCCCATCACCTCTTGTTTCAGGTAGTAGAGCATTCTAACCCGCAGCAACACCCTGCACACAGACACAGCCCCGCCCGCGGTCACAACAAAGCCTCAGCACGCACAAACGCTGAGAGAGCAGAACGGCATTCACTTTCACACGCACTCACGTCCGTAAATACACACACACACACACACACACACACACACACACACACACACACACACACACCCTCACACATTCACGGACGGACAAACTCACGCATACAAACACACACAATCGAAATCTCACACAATCACACTCTCTCTCACACACATTCTAACTTTTCTCCTGGATGACTGAAATACTGTGCCTAGCTCATCACGGTAGATCAACTGTCCATGCAAAGGGAAAACATTTTGTATTGCTGTATATACTGTATAAATGTTGTCTTCAATGATGCACTCATGCTCAAAATGGAGTGGAATAGAAAATATGCAGTCATTGCATTGTCACTGTGTAGTCAGTCACTGATGCAGTTTCTGTGTCATAGAGTGAGACAGTCTGTGACATAGAGAGTGAGACAGTGTCTGTGCCATAGAGAGTGGGACAGTGTCTGTGCCATAGAGAGTGGGACAGTGTCTGTGCCATAGAGAGTGGGACAGTGTCTGTGACATAGAGAGTGAGACAGTGTCTGTGCCATAGAGAGTGTGACAGTGTCTGTGCCATAGAGAGTGGGACAGTGTCTGTGCCATAGAGAGTGGGACAGTGTCTGTGCCATAGAGAGTGGGACAGTGTCTGTGCCATAGAGAGTGGGACAGTGTCTGTGCCATAGAGAGTGGGACAGTGTCTGTGCCATAGAGAGTGGGACAGTGTCTGTGCCATAGAGAGTGGGACAGTGTCTGTGCCATAGAGAGTGGGACAGTGTCTGTGCCATAGAGAGTGGGACAGTGTCTGTGCCATAGAGAGTGGGACAGTGTCTGTGCCATAGAGAGTGGGACAGTGTCTGTGCCATAGAGAGTGGGACAGTGTCTGTGCCATAGAGAGTGGGACAGTGTCTGTGCCATAGAGAGTGGGACAGTGTCTGTGCCATAGAGAGTGGGACAGTGTCTGTGCCATAGAGAGTGGGACAGTGTCTGTGCCATAGAGAGTGGGACAGTGTCTGTGCCATAGAGAGTGGGACAGTGTCTGTGCCATAGAGAGTGGGACAGTGTCTGTGCCATAGAGAGTGGGACAGTGTCTGTGCCATAGAGAGTGGGACAGTGTCTGTGCCATAGAGAGTGGGACAGTGTCTGTGCCATAGAGAGTGGGACAGTGTCTGTGCCATAGAGAGTGGGACAGTGTCTGTGCCATAGAGAGTGGGACAGTGTCTGTGCCATAGAGAGTGGGACAGTGTCTGTGCCATAGAGAGTGGGACAGTGTCTGTGCCATAGAGAGTGGGACAGTGTCTGTGCCATAGAGAGTGGGACAGTGTCTGTGCCATAGAGAGTGGGACAGTGTCTGTGCCATAGAGAGTGGGACAGTGTCTGTGCCATAGAGAGTGGGACAGTGTCTGTGCCATAGAGAGTGGGACAGTGTCTGTGCCATAGAGAGTGGGACAGTGTCTGTGCCATAGAGAGTGGGACAGTGTCTGTGCCATAGAGAGTGAGACAGTGTCTGTGCCATAGAGAGTGAGAGAGAGTCTGTGTCATAGAGAGTGGGACAGTGTCTGTGCCATAGAGAGTGGGACAGTGTCTGTGCCATAGAGAGTGAGACAGTGTCTGTGCCATAGAGAGTGGGACAGTGTCTGTGCCATAGAGAGTGAGACAGTGTCTGTGTCATAGAGAGTGGGACAGTGTCTGTGCCATAGAGAGTGGGACAGTGTCTGTGCCATAGAGAGTGGGACAGTGTCTGTGCCATAGAGAGTGGGACAGTGTCTGTGCCATAGAGCGGAGTGGTGTGATATGATGTGATCTCTGGGCTGGCAGGGAGAGGAGAGAAGAGAGAGGCAGGCTGAGTCAGAGGAGAGATGCTGTTTCCATGACGCACCCAGCCAGGCCTCAGTCAGAGATGTAGGTGGAGGGTGGGGTATGGTATGCCTGATCTGTGATGGACTGGCATACATTCTAGTCTCCGTTCCTCTCTTAAACTAGGGTCTGAGAAAATCTAGCCTTTTGATCTGTCTAGCAGTGTGGCAGGTTAAAAAGTGCAGTGTAGATTTCTTCAGATCGTGTGTGTGGCCCTAGCTTTACACCTCCAGTATGCCACTAGCGGAGAGGGAGCGACATGAGCACACCCCCTCTGCAGGCAGAGCTGTGAGCTCCAGTGCTTGCCTCTCTCTCTCCCTCCCTCCCTCCCACCATGGAGTGTGGGAGGTATCTTATGGAGAAGGGAACCTCGCAGCACCAGACATAGAGCTCATACACGCACATGACCGCGAGCACTCACACACACACAACTGTACACACACTTGTAAAATACCCACACACTTATGTACATACTGTACTTACTATACAAGCACAGGATACAAACAGTCAGATACATGAAGGTAAACACACACCCACAATCACATGCAGATCATATACAAGTCATACCGAGAATGTTACACATATCCCAACAGAACACAGGCCTCGTAAATCTAGGCCAGTACTAGTAGCTACACACACTATTGAACACATATCTTCTAAATGTCATTATCATAGGATAGGGTTATGGATCTCTGTGTGGGACAGGGACAGTAGGGTGCCATTCCTGTGCATGCCCCAACCCAACGTCAGTCCACATTCCACCCTGAGGGGAAAACGCGGAGGTCAGCAAAGCCACAGAGTGTGTCCCCGTTTGGCCAGCGTGCCACCCATCGGACGATCCATGGCTCTGGGAACAATGGAGAACTTTCTATGGAAGCCCTGCATGGCTCTGTGTCTAAAGCCGGACGGCAGAAGACAAACCCTCCAACCAACCCCATTTAGAAAGACAGCACAGCAGCCTAAATCTATTTACTGTAGCTTTATATCAATAGAGAGGTATACTTTCTGGGTGATTTACATATTGACTGGCTTTCATCAGGCCGCCCACTCAAGAGAAAGATTCAAACTGTAACCAGTGCCTGCAACCTGGTTCAGGTTATCAGTCAACCTACCAGGGTAGTTACAAACAGTACAGGAGTTAAATCATCAACATGTATTGATCGTATCTTTACTAATGCCGCAGAGATTTGTTTGAAAGCAGTATCCAAATCCATTGGATGTAGTGATCACAATATAGTAGCCATAGCTAGGAAAACCAAAGTTCCAAAGGCTGGGCATAATAGACACTGCACTTGACACATTTATGAAATTGCTTATTCCAGTTACTAATAAGCATGCACCCATTAAGAAAATGACTGTAAAAACGGTTCAATCCCCGTGGATTGATGAGGAATTGAAAAATGGTATTGTTGAGAGGGATGAGGCAAAAGGAATGGCAAATAAGTCTGGCCGATTGGCAAACATGTTGCAAACTGAGAAATCATGTGACTAAACTGAATAAAAAGAAGAAGAAACTACACTATGAAACAAAGATAAATGACATAAAGAATGATAGTAAAAAGCTTTGGAGCACCTTAAATTAATTTTTGGGAAAAAAGGCAAACTCAGCTCCATCATTCATTGAATCAGATGGCTCATTCATCACAAAACCAACTGATATTGCCAACTACTTTAATGATTTTTTAATTGGCAAGATTTGCAAACTTAGGCATGACATGCCAGCAACAATTGCTGACACTACACATCCAAGTATATCTGACCAAATTATGAAAGACAAGCATTGTAATTTTGAATTCCGTAAAGTGAGTGTGGAAGAGGTGAAAACATTATTGTTGTCTATCAACAATGACAAGCCACCGGGGTCTGCAACTTGGATAGAAAATTACTGAGGATAATAGCGGACGATATTGCCACTCCTATTTGCCATATTTTCAATTTAAGCCTACTAGAATGTGTGTGCCCCCAGGCTTGGAGAGAAGAAACATTCATTCCGATACCTAAAAACAGCAAAGCCCCCTTTACTGGCTCAAACAGCCGATCAATTAGCCTGTTACCAACCCTTAGTAAACTATTGGAAAAAATTGTGTTTGACCAGATACAATGCTATTTTACAGTAAACAAATTGACAACAAACTTTCAGCGTGCTTATAGAGAAGGACACTCAACAAGAACAGCACTTACACAAATGACTGATGATTGGCTGAGAGAAATTGATAATAAAAAGATTGTGCGGGCTGTTTTGTTAGATTTCAGTGTGGCTTTTGACATTATCGATCATAGTCTAATGATGGAAAAACGTATGTGTTAGGGCTTTACTCCACCTGCTATATTGTGGATACAGAGTTACCTGTCTAACAGAACACAGAGGGTGTTCTTTAATGGAAGCCTCTCCAACATAATCCAGGTAGAATCAGGAATTCCCCAGGGCAGCTCTCTAGGCCCATTACTTTTTTCAATCTTTACTAATGACATGCCACTGGCTTTGAGTAAAGCCAGAGTGTCTATGTATGCGGATGACTCAACACTGTACATGTCAGCTACTACAGCGACTGAAATTACTGCAAAACTTAACAAAGCGTTGCAGTTAGTTTCAGAATGGGTGGCAAGGAATAAGTTAGTCCTAAATATTTCTAAAACTAAAAGCATTGTATTTGGGACAAATCATTCACTAACCCAACTCAACTAAATATTTTAATAAATAATGTGGAAATTGAGCAAGTTGAGGTGACTAAACTGCTTGGAGTAACCCTGTCATGGTCAAAACATATCGATACAACAGTAGCTAAGATGGGGAGAAGTATGTCCATAATAAAGATCTGCTCTACCTTCTTAACAGCACTATCAACAAGGAAGGTCCTACAGGCCCTAGTTTTGTCACACCTGGACTACTGTTCAGTCATGTGGTCAGGTGCCACAAAAAGGACTTAGGAAAATTGCAATTGGCTCAGAACAGGGCAGCACGGCTGGTCCTTGGATGTACACAGAGAGCTAATATTAATAACATGCATGTCTATCTCTCCTGGCTCAAAGTGGAGGAGAGATTGACTTCATCACTACTTGTGTTTATGAGAGGTGTTGACATGTTGGGTGCACTGAGCTGTCTGATCTACTGGTGCACAGCTCAGACACCCATGCATGCCCCACAAGACATGCCACCAGAGGTCTCTTCACCGTCCCCAAGTCCAGAACAGACTGTGGGAGGCGCACAGTACTATATAGAGCCATGACTACATGGAACTCTATTCCACATCAAGTAACTGATGCAAGTAGTAAAATTAGATTTAAAAAACAGATAAAAAAATACCTTATGGAACAGCGGGGACTGTGAAGCAACAAACATAGGTGCAGACACATGCATACACACACACGATAACATACACACTATACACACACAACACATGGATTTTTGTACTGTAGATATGTGGTAGTGGTGGAGTAGGGGCCTGAGGGCACACAGTGTGTTATGAAATCTGAAAATGTATTGTAATGTTTTAAAAATTGTATGAACTGCCTTAATTTTGCTGGACCCCAGGAAGAGTAGCTGCTGCCTTGGCAGCAGCTAATGGGGATCCATAATAAATACAAATACAAATCTCAACAACCATCGTCTACATGGCTATGTTTTATATCTCAACAACCATCGTCTACATGGCTATGTTTTATATGTCAACAACCATTATCTACATGGCTATGTTTTATATGTCAACAACCATTATCTATATGGCTATGTTTTATATGTCAACAACCATTATCTACATGGCTATGTTTTATATGTCAACAACCATTATCTACATGGCTATGTTTTATATGTCAACAACCATTATCTATATGGCTATGTTTTATATGTCAACAACCATTATCTACATGGCTATGTTTTATATGTCAACAACCATTATCTATATGGCTATGTTTTATATGTCAACAACCATTATCTACATGGCTATGTTTTATATGTCAACAACCATTATCTATATGGCTACGTTTTATATGTCAACAACCATTATCTATATGGCTATGTTTTATATCTTAACAACCATTATCTATATGGCTATGTTTTATATCTCAACAACCATTATCTACATGGCTATGTTTTATATCTTAACAACCATTATCTATATGGCTATGTTTTATATCTCAACAACCATTATCTATATGGCTATGTTTTATATCTCAACAACCATTATCTACTAACTTATAGGTTCATGTCAAACCATTTCATAGGATGTAAGATTCGTTTTCTTCTTCTTCTCATCATCGATGTAGCTTTATATAAAAAATATAAAATCGCTGTCTGTAGTGTAGTGTAATCAGTTTTTTTCTATCTGTCAGTAAAATATCAATGACAGTTATTAGTTTTGGTTAAAATCCCATTTAGATGATTATCATTCAGCAGTGTAATGTGTAATCTGATTCATGGTCATTAATAGAAGAAAGCAACAAATGGAGAAGATGGCTGCTTCAATTTGTCTTAATTACAGACAGTGGTGTTGATGTGCAGGAGTCAAATCTCTGCTACAGACAAAAACATACAATTATGTTTTCACACAGGCTAGTGTCAATACACTGAAGCAAACAGAGGAAAACTCAAAATATGAGACGTTTCATAAATTCTACCTCAACTCTATATAAGACTAGCTTCTTACTTGTTGCAGTGGTGTTTGAGGTGCTTCTTGTATCCCTCGTCCTGCAGCATGTGTTCTGGGTTGTGTTTCCTGATCCACTCAGCCTTCTGGATATCAAACGTGCTGGACTGAATCTTCATCTTCTTGCCCTTCCTGCCTCTGGGGACCGGGGTCGACAGACCTGAGGGAGGGACACAGATATCATTTTTGGTTACGGACACATTAAAAACATTAACAGTAAACCAATAGCACAGTGGTAAGGGGAAATGCCCTTTAAAGGAAGAATTCCTTGAGAGGAACCAGATTCTAATCTGTAGTTGGACCACTGAGGTTTGGTCATTGTGAGGTTGTAACGTACCCAGGTGGTTCTGTAGTTCCTTGGTCTGTCCGTCCTCGGCGGGGGCGATCAGGTCCCACATGAAGCTCTTGATCTTGTCGTCACCGCGGTAGTGAACCAGACAGTAGGCCAGAAGGGCTCTGCAGATAGACTCTACATCACGCTCCGTCAGCTGCTTCTTAAAACGACCATGGAGCAGGATGTCCTTCCAACGACCCCACCTGGACCACACAGGAGAGGAGAGGGTCAATACTGGAGACAAATACTGTACAATATAGATGGACAACGCAGGAGCACCTCAGTACAGACACAACACTGTACAATATAGATGGACAACACAGGAGCGCCTCAGTACAGACACAACACTGTACAATATAGATGGACAACGCAGGAGCGCCTCAGTACAGACACAACACTGTACAATATAGATGGACAACGCAGGAGAGCCTCAGTACAGACACAACACTGTACAATATAGATGGACAACACAGGAGCGCCTCAGTACAGACACAACACTGTACAATATAGATGGACAACACAGGAGAGCCTCAGTACAGACACAACACTGTACAATATAGATGGACAACGCAGGAGCGCCTCAGTACAGACACAACACTGTACAATATAGATGGACAACACAGGAGCGCCTCAGTACAGACACAACACTGTACAATATAGATGGACAACACAGGAGCGCCTCAGTACAGACACAACACTGTACAATATAGATGGACAACGCAGGAGAGCCTCAGTACAGACACAACACTGTACAAAATAGATGGACAACACAGGAGCGCCTCAGTACAGACACAACACTGTACAATATAGATGGACAACACAGGAGCGTCTCAGTACAGACACAACACTGTCCAGCAGTTACACTAAGAACAAGATGTGTTTGGTCTGGGCTGAAACTCAAGTCTGCACATCCTGTGGGTCCCCAAGACATTTGCATTTACATTTTAGTCATTTAGCAGACGCTCTTATCCAGAGCGACTTACAGTTAGTGAGTGCATACATGTTCATGCCACTGGCTAAGACCAGTATTAAATAACATTGTTATTTAGTATCAATGTTGGTTTGTATATTATCTAGCAGAAGTGGTCCAGTCACTGACACTGACCCGTATACTAGTAGGTTCTTCTCCACTCTGAAGCACTCTGTCCTGCCGTAGCTGTTGAGGCGGTCGTGGGGCCGGCGGAGCTTGGGCTTGTCCTCGTTGTCACTCTCCCCCTCTGACAGCTCTGCCAGCTCGTCCTTGGTGGCACTGAAGGGTCGGGTCTGCTTCCTCACCCTCGGAGTGTCAATTACCAGGCTGTTCTGTTGTGGAATAGGAGAGGAACACACACAGATAGTCAGATACTATTGTAGCAAATTCACTCATCGCATTGATCTCATATATAACATACCATGGCCAAAAAGAGCAGATTTAGTGTTTAAACTAAAGCATTACTTACTCTGTCATTGGCAGTGTCCATGTCAATCTCAGCTTTTTTGGCCCACTTGTCCCAGAAGTTGGGGTCGTCCAGAGAGATGTCTGTGCGGTTTCCGGACGCCACAAAACTGGCCTGAGAGAGAGAGAGAGAGGAAGTCAGTATATCACATTAAACCTTGATAATCTGATTCACTGTTCTTCCTGAGTCTCCTTCAATGAATAGTCCAAGTCTCCTAACAGAGCTGAGAGTATGTGATGAAGAGTGACATGAGAGTAGACAGGAGACACTGGTTACTACTGCTAGTCATGCAGAAAGGATAGCAACATCTAAACAATGACCACAACTAGGCATATCATGTTCAATGTGCTGTGCTCCTTCAGTCACTGGATACCTTAGCAAAGGTAGATCCCCGTCCCTCAGACTCAATGGTGATGGTCTTGGTCCTACGTTGGAGGATCTGGTCAATGTCCTCCTCACAGAACTTGGCCCCCTCATCCTCATCGTCCATCAGAGCTCCATACGCCCCTTTCCTCAGCAGGTCCTCGATCTCTTTCTTAGACAGCTGCTGCTGGGTCGGCTGGAGAGAGGTGAGGGGAGGGGGAAACAGAGAGAGGGGAGGGGAGAAGGAGAAGGAGAGGGGGAAAGAGGAAAGGGAGGAAAGGGAGGGGAAGAAGGAGAGGGGGAAACAGAGAGAAGGGAGGGGGATAAGGAGAGGGGGAAACAGAGAGAGGGGAGGGGAGAGGGGGAAAGAGAGAGGGGAGGGGGAGAGGGGGAAAAAGAGAGAGGGGAGGGGGAGAGAAGGAGAAGAGAGAGGGGAGGGGAGAGAGGGGGAAACAGAGAGGAGGGGAGGGGGATAAGGAGAAAGAGAGAGGGGAGGGGAGAGGGAGAAGGAGAGGGGGAAAAGAGAGAGGGGAGGGGAGAGGGGGAAAGAGAGAGGGGAGGGGAGAGGGGGAAACAGAGAGAGGGGAGGGGGAAAGGAGAAGAGAGGAGGGGAGGGGAGAGGGGAGAAGGAGAGGGGAGGAAACAGGAGAGAGGGGAGGGGGATAAGGAGAGGGGGAAACAGAGAGAGGGGAGGGGGATAAGGAGAAAGAGAGAGGGGAGGGGAGAGGGATAAGGAGAGGGGGAAACAGAGAGAGGGGAGGGGGATAAGGAGAGGGGGAAACAGAGAGAGGGGAGGGGGATAAGGAGAGGGGGAAACAGAGAGAGGGGAGGGGGGATAAGGAGAGGGGGAAACAGAGAGAGGGGAGGGGGATAAGGAGAGGGGGAAACAGAGAGAGGGGAGGGGGATAAGGAGAGGGGGAAACAGAGAGAGGGGAGGGGGATAAGGAGAGGGGGAAACAGAGAGAGCGTTAGGGGAACTGATGATGGACTACAGTAGATCACAGACTGGACTATTTACACATTACATCATTGTACACACATACATGTATATAACACATGCACACACATTAATACCACTCAACAACAGACAGACGGACAGACGTACAGATAGACACTCTAGTGTGAGAAATGCCGAGGAGAGAGACAGTTGGTTGAACTGAAGCTGAACTGGATCACGTGCTAGATCTTTTTAAATGTTAAAGATAGCAGCAACCCCCAGCTGACCCACGGTGTGTTAGTATGCAGCTGGTGGCGCTAACGTCTGCTCAGAGACTCTTCTGTTCACAGGCAACACTTTCTTCCTGATAGTTCAGCTAATCCAGAGAGAGGAACAGCTAAGCTCCTCCTACACACTGATGATGCACTAAGAGGATATCTCAAAGCTGTGTTTATTATCCTGACTAGTCCCTTTCCTACACTCTCATTTGGTAGAATGGACTTACCGTAATATAGAAGACACAGCCATGGCATGGTCATACTTCTGGACTTCATCATATTGTCCCCTTGGGAGCATAGAGCATCCACCGGGCTGATACAGGTGCTACAGAGTGTGTGTGTGTGTGTGTGTGTGTGTGTGTGTGTGTGTGTGTGTGTGTGTGTGTGTGTGTGTGTATGACGGACACGGCAGACTCACCCCTCCTCCCGGCACGCTGTTCTCCCTGCCACTCATGCTCTGCAGCACAGCCTTGTCCAGGCCCAGTTTGAGGCTGGCCCGGTCAAACATCTCCCGCTCGTAAGAGTTCCTGGTGATCAGACGGTACACCTTCACCGCCTTGTTCTGACCAATCCTATGGCAGCGAGCCTGGGCCTGAGAATAACAGAAAAAAAGCCCAATACATTTAATATCTAAATTGTCCAACAAAAATCACTCCAGGATAAAGATCATTGCTGCTATAATAATATAATATATGCCATTTAGCAGACACTTTTATCCAAAGCGACTTACAGTCATGCATGCATACATTTTACTATCCAAGCTGTGTGTAAATTAAAAAGTGAAACAATTATAATAGGATATAAAGACACTTCTCAATTCAAGGTCTTCCTGAATTGACTAAATTAAAATAGGAAGTGACCACACCTTTTTTGCCCATTCTATTTCAGTGGAGGCTGGTGTCACTTTAAATGTCTGTGTGTGTCTTTACCTGCAGGTCGTTCTGTGGGTTCCAGTCCGAGTCAAAGATAATACAGGTGTCAGCAGCAGTCAAGTTGATGCCCAGACCTCCAGCCCGGGTACACAGCAGGAACACAAAGCGGTCCGAGTCTGGTTTGCTGAAGCGGTCTATAGCTGCCTGACGCAGGTTACCTCTCACTCTGCCATCGATCCGCTCATACAGGTATCTGAGGAACACAGGACCATGCAGGGTTGGAGAAGGATCTTCTAGTACACATCCAAGTATCACGTATGTCAACATTTACATACAGCACGACACAGAGAGTTACAACATCAACCATCACACATTAAGGGGCCTCCAATTGCTACACAATATTTCCAGGAATTTGTTTTTGTCATCCACTTTCAAACAACATTCAGTAGTTCTCTTCCTCTTTTCTCCATTCCTGTCTCTCTTTTCCCCTCTCGCTCTATTTTTCTCTCTCTTCCTCCTTTCATCCTTCCTCCCCCTCTCTCTGGCAGAGAACAAGGTAGTTTAGCTCGTTGATCACAGGCAGCCTCTTTCCCAGGAGACCTGGCCTCGCCCCTGCCTTACCCCACCTCCTACGCCTACCCCTCATCTTCTTCCCCTCACACACCTCACCTCTCAGTGATCCACCTCCCTCCCTCCACCCGCCCAGACTCCTCTCTCCCTCTGTCTGATGTGGGAGCGCCCCGAGGGGGTCTGTGACCTGCCGCTGAACCCCGGCTAAGCCTTGCCTAGCCACAGAGACGAGCGGAGCACCTCGCCTTGTGTGTTTACACTGGTTTGGTTCGGGGTTTGAGTGCCAGAGAGAAGCAGAGAGGGGAGAAAAACACAGGGCCAGGCCCGGGGTAGTGAGACAGAGACAAGAGGAGAGGATAGAGAGGGAGAAGAAGAGAGATGACAGAGATATCAAGAGGGAGAGGGAGAAAGAGATAGAGAGACCACACAGACCAGGCCAGTCGCCTTCTTTCCACAGCTCAGACGGGCTGCTGGGATAATATCCTTTTCATTTAGCGCCGCAAACAGGAAGCTCATTAAGCCAGGAGATTAAGACCTTGAATGAGAGGGTCTTGGTACATTCTTCTGCTTCTGTTACACAGTCTTTATCATCTCCCTGCTCTGGGTAGCATTATGGAGCAATGAGCACGGGGGGGCTTTAAAAGGCTCTTTCTCAGACAGTCACTGGAGAGAGAGAAGCTAATGCTTAGAGATTCAGCATTTCTCTTAAACTAAATTCAATTTAATAAGGGAAGTACTGGAGTGATTCAGCTTTTGCTGCACTGCAGACTGCTAGCGAGCTAACACCAGATAATAAGACATAAATATGTCACTTTGAAAATGGAGATGAAAAATGGAAATTACACAACGTCTACTACCCTCTCAAGCATGATTCCTGTCTTCTTCCTCATCAGCCTAGCTATACCCTGCAGATGAAACTGCAGAGGGCGTTTCAAATTCTACATGCACTAACACAAAGTAATAAACGTTATATATCTCACAAGCCTTTATCTCACCTCAAACTACCTCATCTTACAATATGAAATATCTGAGGAGAGAGAACCTCTATTCGTGTGGAGTACTTGGGAGCATAGTAACGCAAGAAGAGGCGCAGGCAGCAGTACCTTCTCTGGATGAGGTAGTCCTCCAGGATATCCAGACAGCGGACCATCTGGGAGAAGATGAGGACCTTGTGTCCCCCGGCTTTCATCTTGGGCAGCAGCTTGTCTATGAGGACCAGTTTACCAGCTGACTGCACCATGGCCTGCAGGTGGAAATCAAAGGCAACAGGGCTGTACACCTCCCGGAAGTCCTCCAAGATCTTCTCTTCAGCACCTGGGAAGATGGACAGACAAATTAAGTCAGTGATGGCCTCAGTGTTTCCGCTTCAATTGTACAAGCAGGACGAGCCCCCTGTCTAACCCTGTTGCCACCAGAGTTTGGCTTCTATTGGGAAAAGACTGGATGACACTTAATCTAGTACCATGCTACCATTTTGACCTAATCTGTATGCAGTTCATATACAGTACCTACTTTAAGACAGACAGGAATAGCAACTCAGTCATGGAATAGATTTTGTACAATATGGTACTGGAAAAGAGAGCCATCCACTGATGGGTGGACCTGAGAGAGGTGACGGTACAAGGAACTCTCTCTCTGGTCACTGGCTAGAGGGATAATGACCAAGGAGACAGCTCACACACGCAGCTCACTGCCTCCAACTCACAAACCAGCATTGATGAAGTGTGACAGGTACCATAATTACACGAATCTGTATGCAGGTCAAAGACAATATGAGAGTTGGGACTTCTATAATGTTTACCAAATCTAACAACCCCCTGCCATTTTTTTTTTTTTTTATACTAAAAACTACTGGATATTAGAAAACCTTAATATTTCAGTTTGGCAGTTTATCAACTCTAGAGCTGATCCTTTAGTTGTCCTAGCCCTCATTAAAACGGATACACAGTCACACACACACACACACACGCACAAGCACACACTCAAGTACACATACAGAAACAGCTGTCAAACCACAGGCCAAAGGTCCACTAGGCTGGCCTTGTACGAGAGCAATTTGCCAAACCAGATGAACCAGAGCAGAAGTACAGCGGTGACATAGGAGGAAGGAGAGGAAGAGCAATGGGCCAACACAGCAGCTTTTGGCAGGGGGGATGTGAAAATAGATAGAGGGATGAACAGAGGGATGGAGGGAAAGGGACATGGAGAGGTGAAGTTAGTCCGGCATCTGTTTCAGAGCCTCAACCTCCTGGCCTGCTTTCTCTGTTCTAGGAGTTCTGACACAGCTAGGAGAAACAGGGGAGTATGATGAAGAGATGGAGGGAGGAGGAGAGCAGGTGGGTGGGTGAGACAAACAGACAGAGTGTCACGGATTCTGCCGAGGCTGCTCCTCCTCCTTGCTCGGGCAGGCTTCGGCGTTCGTCGTCCCCGGAGTACTAGCTGCTGCCGTTCGATGTTATCGGTGTCTGTCTAGTTTTGTCTGTATTGTTTACACCTGTTCGTCATTATGTTTGATTGTTGCCCTATAATTACCCCTGTCTCTCATCGGGATCTTGTGTGTGATTGTTTCCCTTCACGTATGTCATTTGTGAGTGGGTTATTTCCTCCCTGCGTGGAGTTATTCTGTGTTCATCTTTTCGGTATGGGATTAAAGTACGTGTCCGAGAGTTCTGTGTCCTGCGCCTGACTTCTTCAACGGCATCTCACTGACAGCCGTGACACAGAGACAGAGGGAAAGATAGTGAGGAATGAGGATATCTCTGACTCAGTGGTTTTCATTCTGCCCCGAGGCTGTTATAAAGCTCTTTACTACCTGTATGGGTGGGAATTACCCAAATCAGCCTTCCCCATATGGCATACACTGTCCATCCATATAACATGAGGCTACATACAGCGTTCCACAACCTGGATTGTAGCAATATTACTGTTAATACATCTGATGAGGTAAGGCTGGTTACAGCACCTTCTCAGCTCCATCATGGTGTTGACCAGGTTGAGTTACAGTCAGGCTTGGGGCAATTCCATAAAAATTCCAGTCAAATAAGGAAGTACACTGACATTCCAATTCCAATTCTCTTCAATGCTTTTCAATGGGGAAAATGGGGAATTTGGTTTACTTTCTGAATTGATTGGAATTTAAATGGTATTGACCCCAACCCTGGGTACAGTAAGGGTTAGGTAGGGGTCAGGGTCAGGTAGTGGTCAGGGTTAGGGTTAGGTAGGGGTCAGAGTCAGGGTCAGGTAGTGGTGTGTTCAGTACCTTTGATGAGGTAGGGGTGGTTGCAACACTTCCTCAGCTCCATCATGGTGTTGACCAGGTTGGGGACGTTGGCCTGGCCGACTCCTTTAGACAGGAAGGAGAAGTTCTTCTCTAGGATGGCTCTGTAGTACTTCTTCTGGATGTTGGTCAGCTCCACCTGACCACATTATATAGAAACATTCAAACAACAGTCAGCAAAACTAAGACAAAAAAAACCGCAAACACACTCATCAATCTAATGCATACACATACACACACAACGCACATACACACCTCAATGATGGTTTCCTCCTTAGGAGCCAGCTTCTTCTCCACGTCCTCCTTAAGACGACGCAGCATCATGGGCTTCAGGATGGCCTGCAACTTCTGGACCTGAGAGAGACAGAGATATACAGGTTCATATATGGAGACATGCATACGCACGCACACACACATACATACAGATACAGTAATATGTTAAGCTTTTTGACCTGACACACAGAGAGACCGATACAGAGAGATGGAAGATACAGGTTAACATGGAGAGTCGAACTGAATGCACACTTTCATGCACACACACGCACACGATTTTAAACAGAGGTGCTGAAGGATTCGCATGATTAAGAGGGGTTGACAATGGGGCGTTCAGTGGTACTATGATTGTCAAACCAGTACAACACACTGAGTGTACCAAACATTAGGAACACCTGCTTTTTCCATGACATAGACTGACTAGGTGAATCCAGGTGAAACCTACGATCCCTTATTGATGTCACCTTTTAAATCCAATTCAATCAATAAGCGCCTTCAGAAAGTATTCAGACCCCTGGACTTTTTCCACATTTTGTTACGTTACAGCCTTATTCTAAAATTGATTAAATACTTATTTCCTTCAGCAATCTACACACAATACCCCATAATGAAAAAGCGGAAACAGGTTTTCTGAATTTTCTGCAAATGTATAAAGACAACGAAAAAACAAATACCTTATTTACATAAGTATTCAGACCCTTTGCTATGAGACTCGAAATTGAGCTCAGGTACATCCTGTTTCCATTGATCATCCTTGAGATGTTTCTACAACTTGATTGGAGTCAACCTGTGGTAAATTAATTGATTGGACATGATTTGGAAAGGCATACACCTGTCTATATAAGGTCCCACAGTTGACAGTGCATGTTAGAGCAAAACCCAAGCCATGAGGTCGAAGGAATTGTCTGTAGAGCTCTGAGACATGATTCTGTCGAGGCACAGATCTGGGGAAGGGTACCAAACAATGTTTTCAGCATTGAAGGTCCCAAAGAACACAGTGGCCTCCATCATTCTTAAATGGAAGAAGTTTGAAACCACCAAGACTCTTCCTAGAGCTGGCCGCTCGGCCAAACTGAGCAATCAGAGGAGAAGGGCCTTGGTCAGGGAGGTGACCAAGAACCCGATGGTCACTGACAGAGCTCTATAGTTCCTCTGTGGAGATGGGAGAACCTTCCAGAAGGACAATCATCTCTGCAGCACTCCACCAATCAGGCCTTTATGGTAGAGTGGCCAGACAGAAGCCACTCCTCAGTAAAAGGCACATGACAGCCCGCTTGGAGTTTGCCAAAAGGCACCTAAAGACTCTCAGATCATGAGAAACAAGATGATCTGGTCTGATGAAACCAAGATTGAACTATTTGGCCTGAATGCCAAGCGTCACGTCTGGAGGAAACCAGGCACCATCCCTACGATGAAGCATGGTGGTGGCAGCATCATGCTGTGGGGATGTTTTTCAGCGGCAGAGACTGGGAGACTAGTCAGGATTGACGCAAACATGAACGGAGCAAAGTACAGAGAGATCCTTGATGAAAACCTGCTCCACAGCGCTCAGGACCTCAGATTGGGGCGAAGCAACAAGACAACGACCCTAAGCACACAGCCAAGACAACGCAGGAGTGGCTTCGGGACAAGTCAGCCAGAGCCCGAACATCTCTGGAGAGACCTGAAAATAGCTGTGCAGCAACGCTCCTCATCCAACCTGACAGAGCTTGAGAGGATCTGCAGAGAAGAATGGGAGAAACTCCCCAAATACAGGTGTGCCAAGCTTGTAGCGTCATACCCAAGAAGACTCGAGGCTGTAATCGCTGCCAAATGTGCTACAACAAAGTACTGAGTAAAGGGTCTGAATACTAATGTAAATGTATTATTTCAGTTTTTCTTTTTTTATACATTTGCAAAAATATCTAAAAACCTGTTTTTGCTTTGTCATTATGGGGTATTGTGTGTAGATTGATGAGGGGAAAAAACAATTTAATCCATTTTAGAATAAGGCTGTAACGTAACAAAATGTGGAAAAAGTCCAGGGGTCTGAATACTTTCTGAAGGCGCTTATTGATTGAATTGGATTTAAAAGGTGACATATGAGGCATGAGTTTATGGTTCCACTGTCAGAGGTCAGACAAAAGATTGAAGTGTTCTAACGTTGGTACATGTAGTGGTGACAGGTTGCACGATGAGTGTACAGAACGCAACCATGTCACCCTTTTCATGCTAATCCTTCAGCACATGTTGTAAAAGTGAAAAAGTCAAGGTTGAAACTTTCCGATGGGATGTAGATTGAAGGGGAGACAGGTTAAAGGATTTTAAGCTAGAGACATTGGGCATGGTGATTGCTTCAGAGGGCAAGACAAAAGATTGAAGTGCCTTTAAACCGGGGTATGGTAGTAGGTGCCAGGTGCACCGGTTTGAGTGTGTCAAGAACTGCAACGTTGCTGGGTTTTTCACGCTTAACAGTTTCCTGTGTGTATCAAAGATTGTCCACCACCCAAAGGACATCCAGCCAACTTGACACAACTGTGGGAAGCATTGGAGTCAACATGGGCCAGCATACCGGTGGAATGCTTTCGACACCTTGTAGTCCATGCCTAGACGAATTGAGGCTATTCTGAGGGGAAAGGGGGGGTGCAACTCAATATTAGGAATGTGTTCTTAATGTTTTGTACACTCAGTGTATAGCTCCATAGGAAGATATGATGACTGATTAAAATAATAGGCTAATGAAGTCCATGGGGTTGATAATAGGGGTACTCAAATAACTGTAATTACAGAAGAATAATGCTACAGGGTTTTTGACATAATATCAACCATATGTAGGTCTTTCAAAAATCAAAATCAAATCAAATTTTCTTTGTCACATCCGCCAAATACAACAGGTGTGAAATGCTTACTTACAAGCCCTTAACCAACAATGTAGTTTTAAGAAAATAGAGTTAAGAAAATATTTACTAAATAAACTAAAAGTAAAAAAAGTAACACAATAAAATAACAATAACGAGGCTATATACAGGGGGTACATGTAGGTAGGGGTAAAGTGACTATGCGTAGATAATAAACAGTGAGTAGCAGAAGTGTGTGTGTGTGTGTGTGTGTGTGTGTGCACATGACCTAGTTGGAGAGCTCTATTCTCCTTCAGAGTTCTATCTGTACCAACGGGACCTTTAGCTCCACACACACTGACACACTGTTCAAACACCAGGAGGGGTGAGTGGGGAAATAAACACACTTGTCCCCTGATACCATATGAAAACAAATTAGCTTCTGTATTAATAATCATATTCATTATGATCAGTGAGGGTAAAGGACACACTCACACACAGGCAAACAGGCAGAGACAAAAATATAACACACTGTATTTCTCACATACACACTTTGTTGATAGGAACCCAACAACATAACACTCACACACTGACACCGACACACTTGATACGAACCAAACAACCACATGATAGAATCACACAGCCTCACCTGCTCCTCAGTCTTAAGGTCTCCAAACTCCAGCATGAAGGTGTTCTCTGAGGGGAAGTGTTGAGGCTCCAGGAAGTGCAGCAGACTGAACAGCTCCTCTACCGTGTTCTGGAGGGGGGTCCCTGTCAGAAGGACTTTGTGTTCCTGGAGATAGAGGAGAGGGAAGAGAGAGATGTGAGTTAGAAACAATACAAGACACACAGCATAGGAACTCCAACATACAAGCTGTGCCTCAACTGAACACAACTACAGAGAGAGGGGAGACCTCAATCACAAACAATCTTAAGAGACAACCAGATTGGTGTACAGTATTAGTTACCAAATGGGCACTTTTCACAGCTTCTCTCCACACACAAACAAGATACTGATTTGAGACACACTAGGTCTAGGATCTCAAACATTCAAGCTGTAATGGCTGCATTTCTGCCCTTTGTTCAGTTCTGCCCTGCAGTATGCTCAGTGACTTGGACATACCAGATTCATGAGCTTGAAGCCCTCTAGCAGCTTGCAGTTCTTGTTCTTGAGGCGATGGGCCTCGTCGATGATGACGCAGCGCCACTCGATGGCGTTGAGCTCGGGACAGCCACCCAGGATCATCTCAAAGGTGGTGATGAGGGGCGTGGAACTTGTAGGCTCCCCGCACCACACGACCCTGGAGGGAAACCAGGAAGAAACACACAGGAAGTTAATACAACTCTTCTATTCATTCAGCTTTTCTCATTCTCAATGGTTGACTGTATAATGACTTCTAAAGAAATATCAGTGATTTAAATAATTTGAGAAGACAGAATATAAAGATGGTCCTTGAAAATATTCCATTCTCATATCTAGTGAGACATCCTGTGCAGTGTGTGTGATTCCCTGTATGTTAAGGTGATTCCCTGTGTTTTTAAAGGGGTGAGCCGTGCTGTCAGTATGAACCCAGTGACATCACAGTGTTCCAGTGAGACATCCTGGTGGCAGCTCCTCTTCCCCCTCCTCCTTCATCTTTCTTTCCACTCCTCCTTCATCTTTCTTTCCCCTCCTCCCTCATCTGTTCTTTCCACTCTCCTTCATCTGTTCTTTCCACTCCTCCTTCATCTGTTCTTTCCCCTCCTCCTTCATCTGTTCTTTCCACTCCTCCTTCATCAGTTCTTTCCACTCCTCCCTCATCTGTTCTTTCCCGTCCCCCTTGTTACATTTGCATACTAAGATCTCCTAACTGCTGTCTGTCATTCCACATTACTCTGCCAACCACCGCAGCAAAAACCTTTGCCCAGGGCTACCACCTGACATGTGCCACTCTTCAAAACCTTCTCATGTGCTGTTAAATTGAGTCCTGCTTTCAAGTTTTAATGTCACATGCACAAGTACAGTGACATGTCTTTCTTCCAAGCTCTAACCCCAGCAATGCAGTAATCAATAACAATGTATTACTTACAAATAACAAGGTAGAACAAAGACACACAAGATATAAAAATAAGAAATGAGAAGAACATGACTAAGTAAGCATGTTCCTGGAGAGCTATCCTCCTGTAGGTTTTCGCTCCAACCCCAGGTGTTACTAACCTGATTCATCTTATCAACCTGCTAATAATTAGAATCAGTTGTGCTAGATTAGGGTTGGAGCAAAAACCTACAGGACGGTAGCTCTCCAGGAACAATCTTGGGCAGTCCTGATATACAGGGTCAGTTCCAGTAGCATATTTACAATGTGAAGGGATACTGGTTCATTATAGGTACATATGTATAGGGGTAAGGTGACTAGGCACGCTGGAACATGACAGTCATGCTACTCAATCTCAGTATCTCTCTCTCATTATGTGGTCTGCAAGCTCTTCCTTGGACAAATCTCATTGTCCTACTGAGTATCACTGATATCATGTCACTATTCCCTGATACACAATAGAAGAAATACTGTCATTACTTTAATGGACAAGAGAGACACCTGAGTTTCACTTCACCATTCACAGCTAATGATAAGTGCATCACATTATCTCCTGTTCTCCCGTTTCTATTGTGTTAGTAAGCATTATGCGATGCTGGCTGCCAGCGGGTTTCAAGGCCCTGTTGCTGTTGTTTTTGACAACCACAACCTCCCCTCCCCTCATCAGAGGACAACTTTTTGAAACTTCAAGGACCCGTCTTGTTGTTGTTGTTGTTGTTTATCTGTGGGTCCCTGACTGTACATCTCATACGGCTAGCCTGTGTTGTTTATTTATGTTGTTGTTGTTTACCTGTGTGTCCCTGGAGTACATCTCGTACTGCTGCAGCATCTGCCTGCTGACCATGGAGCCGTGGTAGACAATGACGTTGAGGTGGGTCCACGTTCTGAACTCCCTCTCCCAGTTGGCGATGGTGGAGAGGGGGGCGATGATGAGGAAGGGGCCCCTGATGCCCACACGCCAGATCTCCTCCAGAAACGTGATGGACTGGATGGTCTTCCCCAGACCCATCTCATCTGCCAGGATACAGTTCCGTCTGCCAGGGAGGAAGAGAGGGAGGGAGGAAGAAAGGAGTGAGAGGAAGCAAGAGGTGGTTGGAGGAAGAAAGAGAGAGAGAGAGTTGTGGTCCTGTCTGATATTGATTCTAAGTGATGAGACTGGGCTGAACAGAATCCTTACTCTAGTATTCAGGCAGAACATTCATCTGGTTGTCCAGAAGGTGGGGTGTTACAGTAAATCTGGACATTAATTGCAAAGAGCAGATACTCCCACTTGCCTCCTAGACTTTAATTCTTAATCTTAAAGGCACAGTGCAGTCAAAAACAGGATTTTCCTGTGTTTTATATACATTTCCACAAAATGAGGATGGAATAATAATCTGAAATTGTGATAATGCCCTTTTAGTGTAAGAGCTGAAAATACCGGCTGAAATTTCAGCCTGTTTTGGTGGGATGTTGTTTTGGTTGTAAATTAGTTGATAGACCAATAACAAAGAGAGTTTCAAACCTCTCTGCCAATGACAGCTAGTTTTCCCCTCCCCACTCAGACCACTGCCAGGCAGTCCTAGCAAAATTCTTGCTTGAGAAATTGCTCTTTGCTAAGAAGCTATTTTTTGTTTCTTTTTGACAATTTTTACCTCTTAAATGTAATGGCAAAATGTAGATTTCCGCCTAAATAGACATACCCAAAAGTAACTGCTATTCATGTGTGATTACATGTTTCTGGCATGCAAAGCTTGGTATATTTGGAAAGAAGACATCTGGGAGATGATGAGGAAATGATCAGACGATAGATAGGAGTTACATAGTTCAAAATACACAAGATCAAGCATATACAAGATAACCGTTGTTTTATTATAATTCTTTGAAAGTATCTTTCATTGACAAGCTATAAGTGAATTATTGATGACTAGAGCTGGAAACACATCAAATGGCTTCCACAACATGTGAACAATATTAGAAAAAAAATGGGATTGATAGACCTAACAACTAGAAATGGGCAGATGTTTTAGTAAGTGGTGTCAGGTGTGGTCACGGGACGTTTCCAAGTGTCCCGAAACCTCTCCAAAGTGGCATATGTCTGTAAATTAGATAATTCCAGCGCTATTACATATTTGCAATCCCTAAATGCTATTTATTCAGTATAAAAACACAATTTCTACCATATCAACCTCACTCAAACATTGTGGTTGTTATGGGGTATCCAGGGTACATTCAAGTGTCTTTTCAACCTCTCCAAAGTGTCCGAATGTGGTAATTTGCACACTGGATGTGCCTAAAAGTTATTGTTCACTATAAAAACGAAATTTCTACAACACCAACCCCGCTCAAACATTGTGGTGGTGTCGGGGGACATACAGGGGATATGGATGCCTACAGCGCATAAGCAGGCAACATCATATTTATGATGCGCAAAGATATAGTCACTAGGTGGACATTCGATGTTGCCATTAAGTCATACATCATCAGATAACACTGGCAATATGCTAGATTGGTTCCTACCAACCTAAGGATTCATTTGATACCCTCCATGTAGCTATAGCTCAAACACAGACCAAGCTTACCTTTTAAGATGTTTTTAAATGTAATCAATAACGGTAGGTCACAGGCAGACAAATAAGATATCCTCATGATCTGTGGAGTCCCGGCTTTCGATGTGTATCAATGTATTCTGTGTTAATTTCATTTATGCTTTACAACGCTAACCGGAATGTAGGTAGCAGCCATCATGAAATGAGGTCATCGGCTCGGCCTGCCCTTATAAATTAGTATGCCAATACAGTTGAAGTCGGACGCTTACATACACCTTAGCCAGATACCTTTAAACTCAGTTTTTCACAATTGCTGAAATTTAATCCTAGTAAAAATTCCCTGTCTTAGGTCAGTTAGGATCACCACTTTATTTTAAGAATGTGAAATGTCAGAATAATAGTAGAGAGAATGATTTATTTCAGCTTTTATTTATTTCATCACATTCCCAGTGGGTCAGAAGTTTACATACACTCAATTAGTATTTGGTGGCATTGCCTTTAAATTGTTTAACTTGGGTCAAACGTTTCGGGTAGACTTCCACAAGCTTCCCACAATAAGTTGGGTGAATTTTGGCACATTCCTCCTGACAGAGCTGGAGTAACTGAGTCAGGTTTGTAGGCCTCCTTGCTCGCACACGCCTTTTCAGTTCTGCCCACACATTTTCTATAGGCTTGAGGTCAGGGCTTTGTGATGGCCACTCCAATATCTTTACTATGTTGTCCTTCAGCCATTTTGCAACAACTTTGGAAGTATGCTTGGGGTCATTGTCCATTTGGAAGACCCATTTGCGACCAAGCTTTAACTTACTGACTGATGTCTTGAGATGTTGCTTCAATATATCCACATAACTTTCCTTCCTCATGATGCCATCTATTTTGTGAAGTGCACCAGTCCCTCCTGCAGCAAAGCACCCCAACAACATGATGCTGCCACCCCTGTGCTTCACGGTTGGGATGGTGTTCTTCGGCTTGCAAGCATCCCCCTTTTTCCTCCAAACATAACGATGGTCATTATGGCCAAACAGTTCTATTTTTGTTTCATCAGACCAGAGGACATTTCTCCAAAAAGTACAATCTTTGTCCCAATGTGCAGTTGCAAACCGTAGTCTGGCTTTTTTATGGCGGTTTTGGAGCAGTGGCTTCTTCCATGCTGAGCGGCCTTTCAGGTTATATCGATATAGGACTCGTTTTACTGTGGATATAGATACTTTTGTATCGTGTTTCCTCCAGCATCTTCACAAGGTCCTTTGCTGTTTTTCTGGGATTGATTTGCACTTTTTGCACCAAAGTATGTTAATCTCTAGGAGACAGAACACATCTCCTTCCTGAGTGGTATGACGGCTGCGTGGTCCCATGGTGTTTATACTTGCGTACTATTGTTTGTACAGATGAACGTGGTACCTTCCGGCGTTTGGAAATTGCTCCCAAGGATGAACCAGACTTGTGGAGGTCTACAATCTTTTTTCGGAGGTCTTGGCCGATTTCTTTTGATTTTCCCATGATGTCAAGCAAAGAGGCACTGAGTTTGAAGGTAGGCATTGAAATACATCCACAGGTACACCTCCAATTGACTCAAATGATGTCAATTAGCCTATCAGAAGCTTCTAAAGCCAACTTAGTGTATGTAAACTTCTGACCCACTGGAATTGTGATACAGTGAATTATAAGTGAAATAATCTGTCTGTAAACAATTGTTAGAAAGATTACTTGTGTCATGCACAAAGTAGATGTCCTAACCGACTTGCCAAAACTATAGTTTGTTAACAAGACATTTGTGGAGTGGTTGAAAAACGAGCTTTAATGACTCCAACCTAAGTGTATGTAAACTTCCGACTTCAACTGTATATGGTAGTAAGTCATACCAAAGATTTGAAGGCGCCGATCAATAGCCAAGATACTCAGCTTTCCGCAGACACCCTGCTATTGCAGATAGGGGCTTCCGTTCTCATACCAGACTGAATTGAATAAGAAAAATCGAATAGGGTCCCCAAATATGGGGACTTTACATTTAAGAGGTTTTAATTGAAAACAATCAAAGTAAGGTACTTGATTGTTACCCAGAAATGATTTGATATTGAGATAATAATGGCTGCATTGGGCCTTTAAGAACTTCACAGCACTCTGAAACACAGTCCCAGTAGCAACACTACAGCCTGGCTACAGACAAAGATGCTTTTTGGATGTGTTCCACACTCGCTTTCTCTCTCCCTCGCTCTGTCTCTCCATATCTCTCTCTCTCTGTCTCCCTCTATCTCTCCAGCTCTCCATCTTTCTCTCTCTTCCTCCTCTTTCCTTTCCCCACCAGCAGCATGTTGATAGTACACTGCTCAAAAAAATAAAGGGAACACTTAAACAACACAATGTAACTCCAAGTCAATCACACTTCTGTGAAATCAAACTGTCCACTTAGGAAGCAACACTGATTGACAATACATTTAATAATAATAATAATATGCCATTTAGCAGACGCTTTTATCCAAAGCGACTTACAGTCATGCGTGCATACATCTATTTTTTTGTGTATGGTTGGTCCCGGGGATCGAACCCACTACCTTGGCGTTACAAGCGCCGTGCTCTACCAGCTGAGCTACAGAGGACCACATTTCACATGCTGTTGTGCAAATGGAATAGACAACAGGTGGAAATTATAGGCAATTAGCAAGACCCCCATAAGGACTGGTTTTGCAGGTGGTGACCACAGACCACTTCTCAGTTCCTATGCTTCCTGGCTGATGTTTTGGTCACTTTTGAATGCTGGCGGTGCTTTCACTCTAGTGGTAGCATGAGACGGAGTCTACAACCCCACAAAGTGGCTCAGGTAGTGCAGCTCATCCAGGATGGCACATCAATGCGAGCTGTGGCAAGAAGGTTTGCTGTGTCTGTCAGAGTAGTGTCCAGAACATGGAGGCGCTACCAGGAGACAGGCCAGTACATCAGGAGACGTGGAGGAGGCCGTAGGAGGGCAACAACCCAGCAGCAGGACTGCTACCTCCGCCTTTGTGCAAGGAGGAGCAGGAGGAGCACTGCCAGAGCCCTGCAAAATTACCTCCAGCAGGCCACAAATGTGCATGTGTCTGCTCAAACGGTCAGAAACAGACTCCATGAGGGTGGGGGTTGTGCTTACAGCCCAACACCGTGCAGGACGTTTGGCATTTGCCAGAGAACACCAAGATTGGCAAATTCGCCACTGGCGCCCTGTGCTCTTCACAGATGAAAGCAGGTTCACCCTGAGCACATGACAGACGTGACAGAGTCTGGAGACGCCGTGGAGAACGTTCTGCTGCCTGCAACATCCTCCAGCATGACCGGTTTGGCGGTGGGTCAGTCATGGTGTGGGGTGGCATTTCTTTGGGGGGCCGCACAGCACTCCATGTGCTCGCCAGAGGTAGCCTGACTGCCATTAGGTACCGAGATGAGATCCTCAGACCCCTTGTGAGACCATATGCTGGTGCGGTTGGCCCTGGGTTCCTCCTAATGCAAGACAATGCTAGACCTCATGTGACTGGAGTGTGTCAGCAGTTCCTGCAAGAGGAAGGCATTGATGCTATGGACTGGCCCGCCCGTTCCCCAGACCTGAATCCAATTGAGCACATCTGGGACATCATGTCTCGCTCCATCTACCAACGCCACGTTGCACCACAGACTGTCCAGGAGTTGGCGGATGCTTTAGTCCAGGTCTGGGAGGAGATCCCTCAGGAGACCATCCACCACCTCATCAGGAGCATGCCCAGGCGTTGTAGGGAGGTCATACAGGCACGTGGAGGCCACACACACTACTGAGCCTTATTTTGACTTGTTTTAAGGACATTACATCAAAGTTGGATCAGCCTGTAGTGTGGTTTTCCACTTTAATTTTGAGGGTGACTCCAAATCCAGACCTCCATGGGTTGATACATTTAATTTCCATTGATAATTTTTGTGTGATTTTGTTGTCAGCACATTCAACTATGTAAAGAAAAAAGTATTTAATAAGATTATTTCATTCATTCAGATCTAGGATGTGTTATTTTAGTGTTCCCTTTATTTTTTTGAGCAGTGTAGAACAGTGAACAGCTCTGTGGGCCAATCCACAAGCCTCAGAGGCACACAGGCTAATAATGTTAACTCAGCCAAATCACTGCACGCTCTAAACACAACACAGGAAAACCTCAACACTACCTCTGTGCAGTGACAATGTCTCTAAACCAAACAAGCTATACTGAAAGATAAGTCAATGAAAACGTTCTCAGTAAAACCGTTTTTAAGACTAAGACACAAATCAAGACAGACAACCAAGAAAACCTTCAGTCAATGAAAGCATCCTCTCTGAGAACCGTTTTCAAAGATACTGTACAAAGCAAGACAGACAACCTTGCAATCTTTTCATATAGCCTATGTGGCGTAGTGCAGTGTTTTCCAGTACTGTTTTGCATGTTTATGCTGTTATTAACCACTAGGGTTGGGCAGTATTTTCATACCTTCATACCGTTCCTGTACCATACCAAGGTATATGGTATTACTGGCAGTGCACAAAAGGGGCACTATTTATTTCCAAACGTAAAATATATACATACACACACACATACATACACACACGGTGCCACATTGAAAGTCACTGAGCTCTTCAGTACGGGCCATTTTACTGCCAATGTTTGTCTCTGGAGATTGCATGGCGGTGTGCTACATTTTATACACCTGTCAGCAACGGCAAAAAATGAAGCAGTAGGGATCTTGATTGTCTCTGCTGTAACCAAGAAGTGTGATCTTGCAAGCTAGCCACTTAGCTAGCAAGTTAGCAAACCAAATGCATAGCTGGCGCCCTGAGCAGGAGATCATTTATTTGGTACATCTTAGATCGTTAACTTATAGTTATAAGTAGTGGCGTAGCACTCACCCCTCTGAGCTTTAGGGCGCCCCAAACCCCCCCAAAAACAAACAAAACAAAATCATACCGTTGGTATTTCTAAATACCCCGGTATACGGTATATACCATATATACGGCATACCGTCCAAACCTATTAACCACATTCTCCACAGGTTTTGAATACTAAACCAAGCTAGAAATCAGCAGGCTCTGAGCAAGCGTCTCCCTGTCTCTGTGCTCCGGTACAGACATGCTGTCAGCTCGCTGCTTCACTAGCTTCTCTTCTGCACTAGCAATCTGACAGTCCAGCCCTTGTCTCTCTGGCTGGGATACAGTATGCTACAACCAGAGGATCTGAAGTCTGGAATAACCCTGTGTTTCTGACTCGTCAGAATCTGCTCAGGGCAGTAGAACACTGTGTGTGTCTGTGTTTGTGTTTGCACATGCATACAGCTACAGTGTGTGTGTGTGTGTATGTGTGTGTGTATCTGTGCACGTGCGTAGAAACGTGTGTGTGTGTGTGTGTGCGTGCAGCCTTGGGGGACCCTACTGACCTGTTGTACCAGTTGAAGAGGAGCCAGTTGACTCCCTCCAGCTGGTAGTCCCTGAGGACGTTACTGTTCATGTACTCCCTCGACTGATCCCTCTTCTTCCACAGGCTGGCTGGGGGACGCTCCTGGGGGGGTAGAGAATGTTAGAGGAGGAGAAGGAAAGAGAGATGAGAAAAGAGAACAGAAAAGGAGAGAAAAGAAGAGAAGAGAGAGGAAGAGAAGAGAAAGGAGGTTGAATAAAGGTGGCTTACCGTCCTCCGGGAGTCTGGCCTTGCTGCCTGCAGCTGCTCAAACTCCTCTATTTTACTCTGGTCCACATCCCCCTTCAGTTCCCACGTACTGTCTTCATAGGGCAGAGAGCACCACTTAACCAGGTAGTACACCACCTGTTGGGGGAAGAGGGATGGAGAGAGGGGGGGGAGGGAGGGGGGGAGGGGAGGGAGAAAGAAAGAGAGAGAGAAAGATATGATGTGAGTTAAAACAACACACACTTCTACTCAATACAACACATATCAAATGTAACTTCACACTGTTCACTGTATGTATGTCATTGTGTCAGTAAGGGGAAAACACTGCATGAAACCTTCTTTAATCGTCAGTTAACACAGACACACACACACTCTATCTCCCTCCCTCTCATAAATACACACCACTCTCTCTCTCCCACAAACACACATACTGCTCCTAACTTTTAAAACGTTAGGCACCAAACTGAATTTAAGGAGCACCAGAAATAAATAGATTTTTGAACCGTTTAGGCTAGGGACAAGCCATTTTCTTTGCCGTAAAGCTGCAAGCATGCCTGTCGCGAAGCGGTGCTCCATTATCCCTCTCTGACACTCAGAGGCTGCATGACAGTGAACTTGCAAAGTCTGATCAGACTGGCCTGTGCTCTTGGTTATAACAGGAGATTAAATTACACAATGTACCAAATTTGCTCGCTCTGCGCGCTGCTCCAATGTAACAAATGTACAAATCTAACAACAGAAGTCTCATCACAGTCTCCATCCCCGCTCGCCATCACGGCTAAATTCTATTCCAAAACCTGATGGAGGAATAGATGCGTATGGCCAGGCTCTGTCGTAGCCGGCCGCGACCGGGAGACCCATGGGGCGTCGCACAATTGGCCCAGCATCGTCCAGGGTAGGGGAGGGAATGACCGGCAGTGATGTAGTTCAGTTGGTAGAGCATGGCGTTTGCAACGCCAGGGTTGTGGGTTCGATTCCCACGGGGGGCCAGTATGAATTTTTTTAAATAAAAAGATAATGTAAGTCGCTCTGGATAAGAGCGTCTGCTAAATGACTAAAAATGTAAAATGTAAATGTATGAAGATGGGACGGAGAGAAGCAGGTGAGTGGGGGCTGGTAGGGGATGAGGCTGATTACAGCTGCCACATGATCTGTGCATGAAAGTGAAGTGGATATTATTGGACCTGCGCATGCAAGAGACTAGTGGCAGATGCTTAAATTCAACTGGCGCCAGCAGGTTCTTTAGATCGGTAGGGCTGAACAATTTGGTAGTATCATATGAAACGGTACTACGGTATTCTAAAATGTTGGTATTACCGTGGTACCGGTACACCAAGCAACACTAGTAGCTACACCATCAGCTAAAGTAAGAGAGACAACAACCATAATATACATGTATGGAACGACCCCATGCTTTACAATAGTATCTTCTACAAATGGGGAGATGAGACACACTCAAGGACATACACACACACACAATGTACACACACACTCAGTCTCTCTCTCTCTTTCCAACAAAAGGCAGGCTAATCATCTCTCATTTGTTGTGAATGAGAGCCCCCCCCCCTCTTACCTCTCCTGTGTCCTTGTCTTCACAATAGGACACCTCCAGTACTCTGTCTACCTCCACATAGTCAGGGTTAAAGGGATCCTCCTCCATCTGAAAACACACAGGAAGCCATAGTCAGACAAACTAAACCACCTTCAGGTCATCTGGAGTCTGGGGGGAAAGAAACACACTGTATGACTGTATGGGTGGGTAGCATGAACATATCAAGGCCTAAAGCACACTACATAGATGCATGCAAACACGCCTGCGCAAAACAGGCAAACACACACACACACACACACACACCGGCATGCGTGCACACACACAAACGCACACGAACACACAAACTGCTGTGAAAGGGTCTTACATCTGCAAAGAAGTGGGCCCTCTGTGCCTGTTTAATCTTGAAACGTTTGATCTTCTGCTGAATCCTCTTGTCTTTCTCCAGCTGCTGCTCTGTGGCCCACTCACAGTGGAGGTAGGAGCTGAGAGAGACAGAGAGGGGGACAACACACAGAGTCAGGAACGCACAAGAACACACACACACACACACACACACACACGTTTAATACAAACTTCAAATAAACCTTGGATGTCTTTTATGACATTCTTAGAGCATGTCGTAAATCTTTCAAATGGATATATGTTTGCTTTATGTTTACATGTTCCATGTGTGCCATTTTGTACATTTTACATTTGTATAGGATTTACAATCTACTACACATCAAATTAGTCTTCACTTCAGACTGACCTGGATTTGGTTCTACTGAAACTACAATGAGGTCACATGTGAGCTCAGTCAAAGGCATCTCAAAGTGGTAGTACAAGGACTAGTAATGACAAGCTGCGTCTTACATCGCTCTGTTTAACATGCTGTATTTGGCTTTTTCGGTTGAATACAAACATTTTAAAATGTGCATGCAATTATCTTAATTGGAATGAAAAATAATGCCTTACTAGTTTTTGTATTTTACAAAGAACTCCTCCACTTCTACGATAACTCCTGGAGCGACCTAGAAGAGGAACCAATATTATAGACTGAAAGCGCTTCATACACTGAGTGTACAAAACATTAAGAACAGAATATCAGGTGCCACCAACCTTTGTTTGAGACTGGTTATGATTTCAGTTCAAATCACCAAAACATGCTTGTCCAATCATTATGTATCTGTACGGTACTGTATATTAGAGAACGCATACTGTACTGTATCTATACTGAGTGTACAAAACATTAGGAACATCTGCTCTTTCCAGGACATAGACTGACCAGGTGAATCCAGGTGAAAGCTACAATCCCTTATTGATGTTACTTGTTAAATCCACTTCAATCAGTATAGATGAAGGGGAGGAGACAGGTTAAAGGAGGATTTTTAAGCCTTGAGACACTTGAGACATTGATTGTGTATGTGTGCCATTCAGAGGGAGAAAGGGAAAGACAAAATATCGAAGTGCCTTTGAACAGGGTATGGTAGTAGGTGCCAGGCGCTCCAGTTTGTGTCAAGAACTGCAACGCTGCTGGGTTTTTCACGCTCAACAGTTTCCCGTGTGTCAAGAATGGTCCACCACCCAAAGGACATCCAGCCAACTTGACACAACTGTGGGAAGCATTTGAGTCAACATGGGCCAGCATCCCTGTGGAACGCTTTCGACACCTTGTAGAGTCCATGCCTCTACGAATTGAGACTGTTCTGAGGGCAAAAAAGGGGGGGTGCAATATAAAGAAGGTGTTCTTAATGTTTTGTACACTCAGAGTATAGTAGGAATTGAATTCAATCAAACCCGCATTGCAGAAGGTAAGTAGATGTACTACTGCAAACTAAGATACTATAGTACTACAAAGAGAGGTTCGACTGAATGTGGCACTAAAGATGATATGATTGTAATCCTACCTCGTTCTTGATTATTCGAGATGACATGATCTTGTCAACAACAGCAGCATCCTCCTCACTGGGGTTTTCCTGCAGCAATGACAAGGTGCAAACAAAACACTTTAACAGCTCCATGTACAACCTTCATACACCACACACCCGTTTCATGTATTTTCAATGTAAAACCAGAATACAGTATGGCCTTTAGATGCATTGTCCTGCTATAACACACACATTAGACTAGATAGAGCAATGATAGAGCAATGAAGAATGTAGCCTTGAGATGTATTGATACTGTAGAACCTATCAGTCTTACAGTGTTTCCCAACTCCAGTCCTCCAGTACCCCAAACAGTACACATTGCTGTTGTAGCCCAAGACACCTGATTCTACTCATTGAGGGATTGACGACTAGCTGACAAGTTGAATCAGGTGTGTTTGTCTGGGGCTACAACAAAAATGTGTACTGTTGGGGGGTACTGGAGGACTGGAGTTGGGGACCACTGGTCTAGAACATCTGAATGTTATTGATTGATGCCTAGGCCAGGCCAGTATCTCCTCACCACAAACAGCTGCTGTGCGCGCTCTTTGCGTGCTGCAGCAGTGCTGGTCTTCTTGGCTTTAGCCATGACCTTCACCTCCTCATCAGAAACCCTGGCCTCTCCCTCCTCTGCATACTTCTTCCTCTTCACCTGGCGGTTCGACCGACGAGTCTACAGGGGGGTGAGGGAAAGAGGTTTAGCATTACGGAGGTTCTGTATTATACAAATCAGAACAGCCAAAATATCAGTTCAACTCATTTCCTATGTTTTATTGGGTTAATATGCAGGCAGCCATCGAAGGCATTCCTGTCTATTCTCAATAGTGCATGTGTCTCTGTGTTGTATGCACTCCGCAGCAATATGTATGACATTCAAGCGTGCTTAGTGTTTATTATTAGGCAAACACATCAGAGAAACCCTGTTAATGACAGCCACAGTTTAATGAGATACTAAATACCATTCAGTTGAAACTAATAACGTGTCTGTGGATGAGAATTACCCAGGCTGACCATAAAAGACTTGGGCCTGCCAGGCTGTTGGTCCCTCCTTCCCTGCCTGTCAGGCTACCTCCCAGGCTGAGTGGTCCCTCCTTCCCTGCCTGTCAGGCTACCTCCCAGGCTGAGTGGGGTCCCACCTTCCCTGCCTGTCAGGCTACCTCCCAGGCCGAGTGGTCCCTCCTTCCCTGCCTGTCAGCGTACCTCCCAGGCGGAGTGGTCCCTCCTTCCCTGCCTGTCAGGCTACCTCCCAGGCTGAGTGGTCCCTCCTTCCCTGCCTGTCAGGCTACCTCCCAGGCTGAGTGGTCCCTCCTTCCCTGCCTGTCAGGCTGCCTCCCAGGCTGAGTGGTCCCTCCTTCCCTGCCTGTCAGGCTGCCTCCCAGGCTGAGGGGTCCCCTGTGGTGATGATGCTGTAGCTGATCTCAGAGCTGTCTGTCTACTAACGCCACCACTTATAGTGCCACAGACAGGACAGGGCCATCATTCTAAATGACATCTTCAGACAGCTCTAATTAAGACTGGGGGGGGGGGGGGGGGGGGGGTAATGAGGATAATTATACCCACACATGGGCAGGGAAGGGGGGGGATAATCCCCTATGACACAGGCAGGGGGAGAGAGTGGAGTTAGGTGAGAGAGTCTTTCATCCCCACTCACAGAATACTCTGTCAACTGGAACAGAGCAGATCATCCACCTCAACACCAGTGTCTATGGATAAGGACTGTCCTCATGGTATAGAATAGGCCTACCCCTAGATAATCCTCAACTCTACCAATGACACCAGTAAAATGACACTGGAGCTATTAGTTCTTGAGTTGGTCAGGCCCTGAACTCACTCTGAACCATCCGGTGTACTTTGACCCCATATCACAGCTGTGACACCTGCATTCCACTCAGCAATAGCAGCAGCAGCATGGCCAACGAGAGAGCCCAAGGACTCTCCATGGCTTTAACTATCACAACAACACTGTCATAAGAACCAGTCTATATGACATGAGTCTCTCAACATAAGGGCCTGCGTTCTGCAGACGGAGGAAATGGCCTCTCCAAAACAATAATAAAATAAATAAATAAATATAGTTACCTACCCCTGCCTTAAACATCACAAAAACACTATCATAAGAGTTCTGCAGCCTTAAAGAGCCTGCATACTGTAGCCTTGGAGACAGGGGGAAGGACTCCACGCCTTTAACAATCACAATACCACAGTCATAAGGCTTTTGCGTGCTGCAGCTTGGAGCCTGGGGGAGGGACTCACCGAGTCATCGTCTTTCGAGGATCTTCGAGGCGGAGGTTCTTCATCAGACCCCTCCTCTGATGACTCTGTCTTCCTCTTCTTCTTTATCCCTCCAAATTTAATGACGATTTTCCTGAAATAAAGGATAATAGGACAAACATTAAGTATCAACGTCCGTTAAACGAGAGGAAAAATAGGAAAACCAGGACTTCATTTTCTCCTCTTTCCTTCTGCTTTGTCTCATTGAAACTGTCTCTGAATAATGAATTAACGATAATATAAAGATTGTCCTTGTTGTGCTAAATAAATGACCTCAGGAGTGTGTGTGATGCCGTGCGGTGCAGTACAGTACAGTACATGCTGTGTTATTCACTGCATCTTTTAAAGGCAAAAAATAATGATTACCCAAAGAATTATAATTAAGTAAGCCTAGTTATTCTATTTCACTGTTATTACCAGTCCAGCTCTGTTTATTTTGTCTCACTTAAAATGAATGATTTAGTTGTTTCCATGGTTGCTTAATGCCTTATTAAATGCACTTTAATAACCTTGAAACAAATAGTGACCGATTCTAGTAGGCTGCTCTACATTTAAATGATAGCACATCAAAACACACATTTTCATGGGAAGCAACCATGCAGTTAGCTGTTAGCACATATAGGCCATTAGCACAATATTCTAAATAAATACCTTAGCATATTGAATGACCTAATGACCTCAGTAAGGGATTATTACATAACAAATATCCAATAATATAATCATGTCCCTCTTGGTTATTGTGTGAGAATAAGCTTCTAATATGTCCATGACTGTGGTGAGTCAATATCTCATCATGTGCAGAATGCAGAGACATTTTTCAGGGAGAAAAATATGTATTGTGTGTGTAGTCTGTGTGTTTGTGTGTGTGTGTCCGTGTGTCTGCAGACAGGGAAGATATGAACCAGTAAACTGATACAATAGATCTCTGCTATGTACAGTTTGAGAGAAAGACACAAATACTCTCTCTCTCTCTCTCTCTCTCTCTCTCCCCCTCTCCCTCCTGTGTGCGTCTGCCTGCCTGCTTGTCTGTCTGTCTGTCCGCCCCAGCCTGATGTCTTCTTATCAACATATAAGACTGGACTTCCACTGCTCCATTTGCCAAGCTCTTTATTGGATCAAAACAGAGATATAGATAGTGACTGAGCCTCCTCCCTTCTCCGTCTCTAGCTCTCTGTCTTGCCACAGATTATCCATTATACTGACCAGATCCTCAAGTGGCCACTCTAACACTGAAAATAAATGTCTTCAAAAATGGAAGGCAGTCAGGAGGAGGCAAGATCAGGTGGGTCCATTCTAGCCAATGAGAGGGCAGATACGCGTGTGAACAACAGGCAAAACTCTGATAGTGTTTTTTCTCAAAGATGCCGCGATGTCCTACTAATATCATTAGACTCGTAAAAACCTAAGCATTAAGAAACTTCTATTAGATCAAATAAGCCACATGTAGCAAATAAGCCATTACATTTTTTGTGAACTAAATTCGACACTCTCATTGACCTCCATACAAAAATTCCTCTCTTGTTGATCGTTTTATTTGTTTTATGTCACCTGCTGGAAAATACCGATTTTAGGCTCAGTTATCCCTCTCGCTTCTTCCGTTCTGGTCTCACTCTCTTTCTCTCTCTCTCACCCCCTCTCTCAGTCTCCGCCTCTTCCCGCCTACCTCTCTCTCGCTCTTGTCCCTCCTCCCTCGCTCTCTCTTCCAATCCCTCCCTCCATCCCTCTCCACTTTTATGATTCAACTAGCTACACAAAGAGCCAGTCCAGATTCCAAATCCCCATGCAGACAGACAGAGACTAGCATGGCTGGATCGAACAGGCTAATACTGTAGATGCGGTAAAGAGGTCAATTGAACTCAATTGCCATGGAAACGAGTGGGGGAAAGGGCCGTGGGGGAAAGATCCCGAGTCTCCTCATTAAATGTATGAAAAATTAGCATAGATTTAGGCTATTGTTTATATGTGTATTGCACACTATATTGAGGTAAAAATCAGAGTACAACGCTTATATGGATGTCAACCCCAACACATGTTCATGTCATCGTCACCAATCAACTGCATTACAGTTAAAAATGACTTTGACTACCACCACTGATTTCTGTAAGCCAGCTATGCTAACCAGCTTATACGAGCGGGAGTTAGCATTTAACAGTCACTTCTTTTAAACCTGAAAAGGGACAATTTATAAATGTTGTGCAGCAAAAACAGCTAAATATATCAAAATCGGACTTAAGTAACCACATTGTGGGCCTGTTACAATACATAACTCATGACGGATTTGAGAAATATCCACTTTGTTAGATAGGATTTGTTGAATGTGCGCCAATCTGGTCAATGGAATGGAGCTAATGAAGCGTGAGGGAGAGGAGGTAAAGAGAGGTGACGCTCTAGCAGGGGCTGTGCTGTGTGTGTAGGCTACTGAGAGTGTGAGCGAGTGACACGGGAACAGGGAGGTAGGAGGAAGAGACGAGAGACAGCAACCAACCAAGCAGACTCACACTATAGTAGACTAATAGCTGCCATAGCTAGGTTATTTATCATCCAATATGATTATGTAGTACCTGTCTTGACTGCATAAACTAGTTAAGCTAGCTAGCTAGGCTAATTGAGAATGCATGCGCTTTCTCGTCCTGCACAGTTAAACAACAACAACTCCATTCAGAATATAAAGTAGCAGCTTACCTGTTGGCTCTTGGTCAATGTAGCCTATCCTTCTCCTTCTCCTTTTAATTCCATCATTTTAATTACATCTTCCATTGATTAAATATCTCCTAACACGGAGGCTCTATGGCTGTAGCCTATTGCAGCTTTGATGACTTATGATTGGCCAACAACAACAGCAAGCTACACATGCCACTCTCGTGAAAAGCAAAGAGCAGCAGCATAAATTATACAATTGCTCTCTCCCTACTGCAGCAATTGCGTTCGGATATGTATGGGTCCTTCCGTACAAGTCAGTTAAAATTATACATATAATCATATCAGAATTCTGGATCCCGACCCTTTTAGGTCCCGGATCGGGTCTCAGGTATTCGGGTACAAGTGGATCCGTGAAGACCTCTACTGTGAAATCCTCAGCCTAGACATGTACTGTATACGTCTGTATATGTCAGTATTGTACAGGCCTATGTCTGTTCTCTTGTATCTGAAGATGGAGAGAGAGGAGACAGAGGAATCCTCCATTCAGATCAGGTTCAGAGAGGTTTGGTGTAAAGTGCTCTAAACGCCCTACATAGCCTGAGATCAGACACACAGAGATATTACAACAGCTCCCTCCCTCCCTCCCTCCCTCCCGGGGCCGTACTCCTGTCTTCTCTCTGTGTGTGCTCCTGATCATTCCTCCCTCATTCCCTCTGTCATGCACATTATCTCTCACCTTGTCTTCCTCCTCCCTTCTCCCCTCTCTGTTCTCTCTCACAGCAACCGGAACAGAAGCTCTCTAGCTCTGTCTGATATGCTCCAAAACACGGCAACGCTCACACGAGCAGACACGGAGTAAGTAGATTCCTTCTCACACAACACCAACCACTCTGAAACAGGCACTCACGCATACACACGTACACAGAGCTAACTACAGTGCCCTCCGTAATTATTGGGAAGCATTTTTTCTTATTTTGGATCTATACACCAACAGCTTGGATTTGTAATCAAACAATGACTATGAGGTTAAAGTGCAGACTGTCAGCTTTAATTTGAGGGTATTTTCATCCATATCGGGCGAACCGTTTAGAAATTACAGCATTTTTGTACGTAGTCCCCCCATTTTAGGGGAACAAAAGTATTGGGACAAATTCACTTATGTGTATTAAAGTAGTAAAAAGTTAAGTATTTGGTCCCATATTCATAGCACGCAATGACTACATCAAGCTTATGACTCTAGAAACTTGTTGGATGCATTTGCTGTTTGTTTTGGTTGTGTTTCAGATTATTTTGTGCCCAATAGATATGAATAGTAAATAATGTATTGTGTCATTTTGGAGTCCTTTTATTCTAAATAAGAATAGAATATGTTTCTAAACACTTCTACATTAATGTGGTTGCTACCATGATTACGGATAATCCTGAATGAATCCTGAATAATGATGAGTGGGAAAGTTACAGATGCACAAATATCATACCCCCCCCAAAACAACACTAACCTCCCCTGGTATTGTAATGGTGAGAGGTTCACATGTCTTGGGGATATGATATTTGTACGTCTAACTTTCTCACTTTCTACTACTTTAATACACATATAAGTGAATTTGTCCCAGTACTTTTGGTCCCCTAAAATGGGGGGACTATGTAAAAAAAGTGCTGTAATTTCTAAAACGGTTCACCCGATATGGATGAAAATACCCTCAAATTAAAGCTGACAGTCTGCACTTCAACCTCGCTGTCATTGTTCGATATCAAATCCAAACTTTGAGTATAGAGCCAAAAGAAGAAGAAATGCTTCACTGTCCCAATAATTACGCAGGGCGATGTATGTGCTGTGACAGTGCTAGCCTGTCTCTAGTTAAGTACAGTGGAGCTGAAGCTGTGATTCTCACACAGACACAGAAACACTGAAGGGGCGAATGAAGGTGCCACACCAACAGCCAGCCAGGAAAACCAGCCAGCCAGTCAGCCAGCCAAACACAGCCAGCCAGTCATTCAACCAGCCAGTCATTCATCCTCCCTAGTGCTTACAGCCATTACCACAGCCAGAGTCTAGCCTGTCTCAGTCACACTAAGCTGGCCTCGGCCTCACACACTGGTCCTCGACCACACGCTAGGCTAGGTCTAGGATAAACTATCCCCTCTGAACATTTTCCACTAAATCAGGACTGATATTGGCTCTGGTGGTTTAGATGGAGCCAAAGCGAGAGAGAGCGTGCTAGAGAGAAGGCACAAAACATACACACACAGTTATTATACAAATAACCACGCATTTATGTGCACACACACACACTGTGGTCTGTAGGAGGCTGAGCGTTTCTCCCACAGTCTGTCAATACTAGAGCTCTCACGGTCTCCTTGAACATGTTGTGTTGTTGTTGGGACTTAGGCTATCTTTCTCACTTTACTCCTCCTCCTCCAGATTATATTACACTTCCATAATCCTATCCACAATGACACTTTGGGGTTGCCTGGCAACAAGCCCCAGGGAGTATAGTTGGCAACGTGGGCGGTGGATGTGACATCACTTCCTGTGAGTGGCAAAGGAGCGAATGCTCTACTCTGCTACGCAATGAGCAGCTGCGGAGAATGTCATACGACAACAAGACTGCTCTAATATCAACCAGCAGCTAGAGTCCAGTCCAGGAAATATGGACAGAACAGAATGTTCTCCCACACACAGGCAGGACTGAAATACTGAAATAGAGAAATATAGCAGTTTCACATCTTATCATTAGACAGTAGGCCATACTATATTCTCTCCTATAGACGTGTTGGTTGTTTAGCAACAAAATCGACGCATGCACAACTATGGGGCAAAACAGACAGGGTTGGCTTAGATTGCTGACAAAATGTAAACTATATTTAATTTCCAATGTTTATTGAAAACATAAATACATTGGCACGAAGAGCACTCGGGCTCCCGAGTGGAGCAGCGTTCTAAGGCACTGCATCTCAGTGCTAGAGGCATCACTACAGACCCTGGTTCGATCCCGGGCTGTATCACATCCGGCCATGA